GCCAGCGAGAAAGTCGGCCCTGGATTATTGTTTAGCAATTGTGTATCTTAACCTCATACAATTTGCATGCTTACTGGTCAGGAGGGAAAACGCAACCAAGCGTTGGGCAAGCTCCCAGACGGCGGAATGTCTGCGCGGAGACAGATCCCACCAAAAGGGCCGCAGCCACGACAGCTGAGCAAGTACACTTCATAACGAACGCGATTGAGAGTTCGGTAATTGGGCAAGGCTCTCAAAAGTGCGATGAACCAGCATCTTGGGAAGCTGTTCTCCCAACCTTTATAAGCATGCAGAGCTCCCCGGACCTGCATACATGCAACCAGGTAAATAAGACTATATCCCGCATATCAGGCTACTGGGATCCACATGTAATGCCAGCGGCATGTCTTCCTATGCAGTACAAAGCGCGTTCAGGTGCGTTTACCCGTCCCTCGTGCGATAACGCAGCGCTCTTACTGCTCGAGAAGACGACTCCAGCTACCTGGACCCAGTCCGCATTCCGCTGGCTTGGTCCGCGCCATGAGCCACTGTCATCATTAAGAATCTTAACGAGCTGCCGGATTGAGGTAGACATGCACGCTTCTGCCAATCGTTGGAGGGCTGGAGGATGAGGGCTTGGCGTGGCTTGGTCTCACTTGGCATCACGTTCCGGACAGCTGTAGTCTGATTCGCTGTGTAATGGTTCTTTCGTGGGATCCAAAGTCGGTTTCTCCGTAGATTTCTCCTTGGCAATGGGGTATTGGGAGCGGCTGGGAATTTCGATGCACGCTGTGTGCTCCGCACGGCGTAATCTTATTCGCCATAAGAGTGACGGCCGGCGACACGACTCGAAAAAGCTTTGCTAGCCTGGCTTGTCAACGGATATGGTGCCGGCGAAGTTGAGGAAGATAGCCCTGGAATAGTTCGACAGCAATTCCAGGATCCATTCAGGTCTGGCGTCACGTGCCAGCAATCGGGCACTGTGCCCAGCTGGCATGGTTCGCCCGCCGTCATCCTGTCAACCCAGCAAAACTCCAAATTGACAGCTTCGTCCATTCCTTATCTATCGAGCGCATCCGAGCGGAACCACCTCGGTCGCATTGACATTGCGCAACAGCAATGTAGCTTGTCGCGTGCTCACATCCATAGTCGCCGTTCGGAAACCCCTGCCCAGGCATGCTATGGACCAAATGCAGCCCTATGGAGAGCACACAAACCCCAGAAAGCGGCTATAGATCGCGACACGCAGCGGGAACCAAGGATCTTTCCTAGATCTCGCGTCCGAAACGACGATAGACATGCCTTCGATTGGTGTTCGACGCCGGGTGTCCATCAGGGTAACGCCTTGATCGGCTCTAGTTGGGTGGTCCGCCGACGTCACCACTTACCCTTTGATCTAAGGTTTATTGATGATCAGGTACATAGACACCGCTAGGCGCATAGCGCATCTTTAATGTTTTGCTCCAAACGCGTCTTCTTATCGCAAACTCTCCGCGGGCTGTCAGCTACTCGACTTGGGCGTTGTGGTGCCGAAGTACAGCTACCGATCCGCACGTTTCGACACGCGACACCTTTCCCAGGTAGAGCATCGCCGAAGAATCCCGCAAAGCCGAACAAATCGCAGTCGCCTACGAGAATGTCCAAGAGAACATCATACGAACGCTCCGAGCTCGGACATACGACTCTCAAGCGCGCAAAACAGGTAGACGGTAAGTTACGATTGAACGGAATGCAGGTGAGACATACGTTGATTCCGTACCCCAGAGGATCTGCCATACGATCAAGTTCAGGAAGCCCTCGGCGCGCAAGATGAGATCAAGGACGTGACTAAAGTAGCGCATTGGTTCCGTCCCAAAGACCTTCGCATTCAAGACAATACCGCGCTGCATCACGCTTCCGAGCTTGCCCAAAGTGCAAAGAAACCTTTAGTATGTTTCTACATCAACTGCGCTGCGGACGAGTCATGGCATGGGACCAGCCCTGCAAGAGTGGACTTTATGTGTGAGGGGTTGCGCATCATGCAGAAAGAGCTGAAGGAATTGAACATACCGCTAGTCTTCCTGGAATGCAAGGACAGAAAGAAGATTGTAGAAACAGCAGTGGAGTGGTTGAAGAAGCAAGAGATTTCACATGTGTTTGGCAACTTCGAATATGAGATTGACGAGATGCGGAGAGATCTAAAGCTCTGCAAAACAGCTGGCGACGGTATCCAAGTCTCGTTGTACCATGACCAGACAGTTGTTGAACCGGGCACAATGCTCACAGGCACCGGGACACCGATGAAGGTCTTTACGCCATTTTTCAAAGCCTGGCTTGAGAGGCTAAAGGACGAGCCAGAGCTGCTTGACACCAACCCTCCGCCTGCCGCGAATTCATCGTCTGCAAAGAAGGAACTCAAGGATTTGTTCGATACACCTGCACCAGCACCAGCAAAAGACAAGCTATTCGAGTCGGAAGAGGACAAGAAGAGGATACGAAAATTGTGGCCTGCCGGCCATGCTGCGGGAGCAAAACGCATGGATGCATTCCTCAAGCAGATTGATCACTACGCCGCCACACGGTCCAATCCTGCCGCCAACAGCACATCTCGCATGTCCGCCTACTTCAGCGCGGGTATGTTTTCCGTGCGCGAAGCATTGCAGAAGGTCGTGGACTACAACCGCGGCAGTACTGATTTCACCGAAGCCAAAGCATCCAACGGCGTGTATGGTTGGGTCCGAGAAATCGTCTTTAGAGAATTGTACAGACAGACCACCATGACAACACCCCATACCTCGATGAACTTGCCGCAAAATCTCAAGTTTGACGCAGTAGAATGGGAAGACGACGAAGAAGGCTGGGAAAAGTGGTACAAAGGCGAAACAGGCGAACCTTTCATCGACGCCGGAATGCGCCAACTCAACGCAGAAGCATACATGCACAACCGGCTACGTATGAACGTCTCATCTTACCTTTACTGCAACCTCCTCCTCGACTACCGACGCGGCGAACGGTACTTTGCCGAAACCCTCATCGATTGGGACCTTTCCAACAACACTCAAGGCTGGGAGCCTTCATACACCGTCTTCAACCCTGTTTCTCAGGCCGAGAGGAACGATCCTGATGGTGATTACATTCGGAAATGGGTGCCGGAACTTAAAGATGTCCAGGGCAAAGCGGTTTTTGCTCCCTATGCGAGGTTATCGAAGAGCGAATTCGAGAAGTTGGGATACCCAAAACCGCACGTGGATTGGAAGGAGACGAAGGCTAGGGCGTTGGATAGGTTTAAGAGGGGGTTGAGGAATGCGGATGTTTAGCCGGGCTAGACGAGGGGGGTTATGGCTGGATGATACCATACTGATTGTTTAGAATAATGCAGAATCATTGATATAGCACACGTTTCCTACTTTCTTCCTTTTTCTTCTTGTGTATACTAACTTGCCGCTGCCTAGGCTTCTATCGAAACAGACCGAAATGTAATTGCTGCATTCGTCCATTGGTGAGCTGCAGTCCTGCACTCCACCACTGAGTTACCAGCCCATCTGATGAACAATGAAAAGATTCTGGAGTTTGAAACGATATATATTACAATGTGTTCCATATCGCTCGCTCATCCGCTCGGTTCATCGGTCTTACCCTGTACATGTGGGGCTTGCTCAACATTCCACACTAATGTTGCAGCCTAATGCAGTACCCCGTTTTCTCCCTCATCACAGCCTACTGTTCACAAGAGTTATGATACTTTCTTTACGAGATGCAAATGGCTGGAAGATTCCATGCATTAGGCATCGCCATGTGTGGCGTGTGTGTGCCAAGCACTGCGGGGTTGAAGGCTGAGTTGCATGTGCATAGCCTGCTTCTGTCCTCAGCCTGCTGGAATTTTGAGCCGTCCCAATTCCTCCCTTCTTTTTTGGGAAGCTTTTAGCCGTCTATTGCTCATTCGAACAACTTCTAGAGAAACTTCATGGGCTCCTTTCGCGACTTTCACGCTTCAGCTTCGAATCTTCTCTTTGGATCACAAGTGGTACCTATCGTACTTACTTGGGCAGGCGCCCCTTTTGGCCTCGGCTGATCTTCCAGCACAGCTACAGCCTGCTCTCCTGATTCCGACAATACGCAACAACCTTCACTCGACCTGCAAAGCCTTTGAGTGTCGTGTCTACAATTGGAATTCCTGGTGAGCTGGCTGCTGCGCTGAAATTTCTTCAAGGGTTGGTGCTAAGATGTTATAGTGCTATCGCTACATCCTGTATACATCCCGCACGTATCCTCCCGAATCGATTCTACGGTTCGAACGTCCAACCTGTCTCATGTCACCAATGACAACATTCCAATATGAACCATTAGATGGATACTATACGACCATTCGCTTGGTTCGTCTTATTTCAGGCAAGAATAGCCCTATTCGAATTGACCTTATTTACACAAATCTTGATGAAAATGAATGCATTCCGTATGAGGCCTTGTCGTACACATGGGGGCCTCAAGATACAAGACACACTGTGTATGTGGATGGACAGCAACTCACAGTTGGATGGAATCTACATATAGCGCTACTAAGTCTACGTTCTGAAACCATAGACCGATTCCTATGGATTGACGCAATCTCCGTCGATATCAACAATATACAAGAGCGAGCTCATCAAGTACAACAGATCGGAACTATATTTCAAAGAGCCACGCGAGTAATCTTCTGGTTGGGTGAACAGACACCTGAGACGGACGTGTTGTTCCATTTAATGAAACGCCTGGAGAAATCGGCACAGAGATATCCATACAAGAGCTGGAAATCCTCAGATAGAAGGTGGTTTGAGCTGTGGTCTACTGTTGAAAAGGCGCATCCAGATCTTCTCTTGCAACAACGCAAGGGTTTAGAGAACGTTCTGTCTCGACCTTGGTTCAAAAGAGTATGGATCATTCCAGAAGTCGTCAACGCACGGTCTGCTGAAGTGGCGTGCGGCCTGAAGACAGTATCATCTCCCATATTTGTGGTCACGCCATCTCTGCTAGGTGTGACACCCGATTTTCACTGTCAAGCAGTCATGGATATCATGCCAGGACCTGGGCGGAAGTACTCCTGGTGGACGAAGGACCCAGATTCCGGTACAATTCTACTGAAGTTCAAGGGGGGTGAGGCGGCCGACCCCAAGGATAAGATCTATGCATTGCTTGGTCTCTGTCGAGACATTAATGAAGCACTGCTTCCAAACTATAGAAAGTCCCTAGCAGAGGTTATCCAAGATACTGTTGCGGCTTTACTAAGGATCGAAGACGGCTGGAAATCTACATGTCTCTTACCTGAGTGGAATCTATCGGAGTTCTACAAGAACTTGCCTTCACTGGTCGACACAGTTAGTAGGTGGGCCATCAAAGAAGGTCAAATTACCACCTTAGAGACTATCATGCACCGAAATAATGTCCTTGTTGTTGGGGGTAGTTTTGGTCCTGAGAGTCTCTTATGGGAGCCCATAGTGCATCTCGATACAGCGATCGTGCAGTCGCTTTTCGAAATGGGCGCAGACGTGGACTTTCGCAACAAAAAGTCGTGCGATGCGCTCGTTGCCGCTGTGAAGAATGGTCACAGGCAAACAGTAAAGCTGTTACTCGAAAGATTCACCAAAGTTGATGGAAGCGGGGATGATTACAATAACATCCTTCGTCATGCAGATCTTCGAGAGCTACTACCTGAAACAGGCGGCAGTTCTTATGTTCTCGGAGGAAAGAATGTCGATGGATCTCAGGTGACCTCGGCTGATGACAGCATCAACTCTACAAAGAACAGTCATACATATGTCAATTCGACTAGTGATCGAGAAGAATGGGATGACATAACAGAAGTCAATATAGGAGGGTCCCACCGAGTTCCCGATACTCGGGTTCAACAACAGAAGTTCGAAGACGTCGATGTTCAGTCGCTCGTTTCCGAAGAGGGCGACACGGCCTCCAGCGCCTCAATGCCCTTGCCATCATGGGCTAGCGAGACAGAACTTATAATCATTGGTGTTTTTGCTAAGAGCTCCGTTCTTTCTCCATTGTACTCAAAGGCGCTGCAACTCATGCCCGAAGAACGATTTATCAACAACTTCAGACGTTTACTGAAGGCTTTCCATGGAAATCTCGTGACATCCGACAATTCAAATGTCACACGCCAGCTTGCAAAACTTTTGAGGTCTAAGCAACGCTAAAGTAGGATTGCCAGGATGGTCATAGCCCGACACGTAGCTCCGCAAAGCTCTTGGAATGAGGAAGAGCTTGCCAATTTACGTGATCAGGAGAAGCAAGCCTATACAAACGTGGAAAGTTGTCTTGATAGAACCATCGTCTCCTCTGCCATTATCGATACTCAGGCGGTCCACTCAGCAGACACGAGTAAAGAGTATGAGAGTGATGACGACGGTGATTCCCAGTCAGATGGGGAAGAGAATATATCTCATTTTGCCCAGTATCCGAGATTAGACCTTGTTGTTCAGAAGCTTGTGGAAGGACAACCTTTCCAAGATATGTTGGCCAGCTTCAAAGAGCTTCTCTTACCACCTAGACTTTTGAAAGAGCTGTTACCAATACCAAGAGATAAGATTACCTATGTAACAACAAAAGAAGTTGGTCTTCTATCAAAAGTTCAGGGATTTCTCGAAGAGATTACCGCATTGGAATGGGACTGGTGGCCGCTACCCCCTAGGATGAGACCACTGAAACCCACTGAAACGCGTGTTCATTGGCGATGTGTAAGTCTATCACTTCTACGCAAAACTTGATACTAACTGGATAGTTTTGTGGGATGCGTCGATGGAGGGAATTGAGACTGGAACAACAAGAGATTTTAGAAGAGGTTCTCAAGGATTCTTCAGCTGATCATCATTCTCGACCGCTTTGTGCTTTACTCCGAGACACGAAGAGCGCCCCCTGTATGACGACATCCAGTCCTTCTGAAGACCAACGAGAGCGAAGAGGTTCCCTTGCGGTTTTAAAGTGTAGCTTGATTGGTATGGCAGCGGCCTTTGGTTGGTGCTATAGAGAACTTCCAGTTGGATGGCTTTGGTGTTGTCTCACTATAGCCTGCTTCATCTGGGTCGTTGTTGGCTCCCAAAATCCAGCCAGTCAACCAAATCGAACTGTCCCCTCCGGTGCTCACAGTGCTGCACCTTCCAGCGGAGCAGTCCCATCACTTGGAACTCAGGCGATGCAGTCACAACCCGGGAGTAGTGCTACTTCACAAGCAGGAGGAAACGTACCTATACAGCCTACACCCGTAAGTTCACCGACCACGCAAAGCTCCTTGGTAAACAACTCGGTATACAGCAAGCAGCTCTGGGTGAATTTTGGAGTGGATGGCTCATGGACTTCAACAGAGCTAGATCAGATTGGTAGTCTGCACTTGGTGAGCGATTCTGCATTTCTACGAAAACTTGGAAAAAGACACCGTGAGATAAGGGGTTGGTTCCTTCACTACTTTTCATTCCGCATCATGAGCTACTGGGAATTTCTTCGTTTCAAAAGACTACCACTACGCCCCCCTCAGACCATCGACGCCGAGGCAGATCTGCCCACATCTAGCGACTACGAGTATGATCCGAGGCCACCGAACGCGACACTAGATAAACCTGGCATCAGCAAGCACGAATTCGAAGTCTATGTACGACTGTGCTTGGATCCCTGTTGGTTATCATCTCTGCCCATACTACACACATGTCGCACAGTGGAAGACTCCGCTGTGAACATCATCGATAAAATTCCGAGATACAAGAAGTCTTTGAAGCAGCTTGCCCAAGGGGATGAGCACGTTTGGGGCATAAGAGCAAGATACGTTGTGTCTGGTGTTCGTGTGATTGCGCTCCACGTTGCTATTCTTTGCATCTCTTTTGGTGTGTGGATTTGGTGGCAATGGAAGCATCCAGATGATCTTCAAGGAGCTGCGGTTGCGCTCACAACCGTATTCCTCCTCGTATCTACATTTTGGAGTGCAACCGGCGTTCTGAAGGACCTGCGCTAGCACCGCAGGAGGTCTTCTGCTAGGTCCATGTATGCACTCTTCCAAGATATGCTTTTCCTGGATTATATGGGATTCGTGGTGGCAAGAGCGCTGAGTTCTGCCATAGCGCAAGGCGAAACGCATCTCCACTGAGATCTACGCAGACACTGGCTATCTCATTCGTTTGGACAAATTTATCAGCAGGCAAACGAAGCGGCATTGATCATACGAAACCAACTTACCTACGACCGGATTTGCCTCTTACTACTTAGATAAGAACGAACAACGTGAGCGCAGACAAGTACTGAACTACGCTGCAGTCTACACCGATAGGAGACATTGACGTCATGTAAACGGATGCATATATTAGCGTCAAGGATCTCGCTCTTCTCTATCACGCTGCTGTAGGCAGTAGATTCGAGTTGCCATTCACACCTGTCAACTTTATGTTCGCAAGCGGTGTCTACATGTTCGTGACATGGTTGTTCATACAGCTAATCTACAGGCCTTCGTCCGTGGTATAGTACAAGTCCACTCCTATCATATTCGTACACTGTAGTTCTGCACCTCCGCTCGCAATCGATACACTCCGTGTTCGCTTCTCAGGAGCATTTGTATGCAAGCCGCCCGCCCCCGGCCTAACTGTGCGTTCAAATATTCGTTCGTATTGTCCAATTGTCTACTCCCATCTCATTTCCTTCTTCAACGGCTTCTCCCAGTCCTTGATATGATCCGAAATGACCTTGGCAGCCTGGTCAGCGGTGAAATTGCGTCCGATCGCCTCGACGAAATCGCCTTCTGGATCTGTTTCATATCTGTTAGTCCAAAGTTCCTGCGCTACAAATACAACATAACATACCCATCAAATAGAAGTAGATGCTGTGATCAACCAGGTAGTCCTGACCAGGCTTGGTATCCTTGGGCGTGCTAAAGTACACCCTATACGCCTTGCAAGTATCCTTGATCTGCTCGTGGTTGCCCGTCAACCCAATGAAATCAGGGTGGAACTCGGCCAGGTATTCCTTGAGTACGCTCGGGTTGTCGCGCGCGGGGTCGCATGTGATCATGATGGGGAGAAGGACGTTTCCGCATTCGGCGACGACTTTGTCGTACATGAGGGCCATTTTGTCGAGTTCGTCGGGGCAGATGTCGGGGCAGTGGGTGAAGCCGAAGTAGACCTGTAATATTACTGTCAGTATGGGAGCTGAGAGGGCAGTGTTGGTGTTGTCGTACCAGCGAGTATTTGCCTAGCATGTCCTCGTTGCTAAAGGGCTTGCCGTTGTGGTCTACGAGGTGGAATGGTCCGCCTACTTTGGGCTTGCCAATGCCTTTTGTCTGCTCTGCTATCCTCTTTCGTGCCATGCGCTCTTTCTCGTACGTGAAGTAGGCCCATAGTCCTCCACCGGCTGCGACAAAGAGGATCGCGGCTGTGAGGTTGAATGGCTGCAGATATCGTCAGCCTCTAATCATATGCCCAAATTTCTACCATCTCATGTATGGCCCTCTAGACAGCTAAACATACCCCGCCCTTGTTCCTTGCCCGGATTTGATCTATCGTCTTGAGCTTGCTCCGCGACGCCGATTGCGAGAAATTCCTTGTCTGACTCTGGCAGCTAGTCGCTGCCTTCCCAGCTGCGTTCCGTGCTGTCTGTAATTGCCTCAGACACGTTGTGTTTGCCGCCGCTACTTTCCGCGATGATGCGGCCAGACTCGATGTGCTAGAGGCGAATGTTCGATACGTGATGCGCGCCGCTTGTGGGTTTTGGATACTTCTCGTGGCCGTGGCCATACATCTGGTTGGTGCAGCCATTTGGGTGGTATCGTTGGAGAGTGTATGACGACGTGGTGTTGCGAATTGGTGTTCCGGGAGACTTTTCTCATGATTCGAGATGCGAACTCGCCGCGCTCGGGCCAACCTCGACTGACATCTTGCTCACTTGCTTACATGTACATCTCCGCCTCAACGCGTCACCGAGAAAGCCTATCTATCGACTTTATACACGGCAATACATGGTTCAGTCGGAATCACAACCTATTCTCATGTCTTAGGAGGCCAACGCCTTATAGAATAGCCATCACGTTAGTTGTCAGCCTATCTGTTCAATAGCTTCATCACCTAGCCCGGAATAGGGCGGACTTATCCAACCTTCTGAGCAGTTTTCTCAGATTTCGCTCCAGAATGAATGAGTACTGCAATCCATCGAGACGATAACAAGTCAGTCTGTTAAGCCGAGGTTCGACGACAACATGTTTACCTCAAGAGAAACTATTCCTTGTAATGCAGCAGATGAATTAATCATTGTTACACCCGCCTTTGTCTGCATTCCATACTAGACCGAAACAATTGCTAAACCACCGAGCCTTCGACATAGCGAGATGCATGAAAACAACATTGAGTCTCACTAGGAGTAGGAAGGAATCTACGATAGGCTAGGATCATTTGACTATACTAGACAAGGGTGATATCGCAGGCCTTGTAGTCTTTTCTCATGGATTCGAACTTGACTTCTGCAAGATAATCGAACATTCCGATGCGCTCATACGCACCTACGCAAGTGGCTGACCGCCCGAGTAGGAGTCCCGTTACACCCCAGCTAAATCTAAAAATCGGAAGAAGCATTACTGGGTAAGGTCCGCCTGAGCTGTCTTCCTGTTTCTCCTTTCGCTTCGTTGTACTCTCTTCAGTTCCATCCATAAGTCGAACATCCGTCCGAACAATAGGTGTATCTATGTAGGAAATCGTACCGGAAACATCGTGCCGCATAGTCGATACCTTGGTACCCTCCCAGAGACCTTCTGGTGAAGGACCAGCTTCGAGCGATGCCGAGATTAATATCCCCGCCAAGCGTATTGTGCCAGACGAGACGGGACCGTACGGATTAGTCGTCGAAGGCGTTACTTCCGTTTGCACGTTGTAGACTAGTGTTTCTTCTGCATCGTGATTTGACATAACGGTAGGATCGAAATCAATCGCATGAGGCAGTTCCAACGACATCCAACTCCAGGTAGGGGCAAAAAAGGAGGATCGACATCCCGGTGGTTTGGAGAACCATAATAACGTTTTGCAGAGATCTTCTTTCCACAAGCCAGCGAGATATGTACCTTGGTATTGTGAATGGAACCGAGCGGCAAGAGCTGAAATTGCGATCGGTGTGTCCTTCTTCTCCGTCAGTAACCTTCGGCAATATGGATATACAACACGAGTACTCCAAAGCTGTGCGAAAGCTTGTGGATTGGTGGTATCCATCCTGGCTCCAAAACTGCCTTCCAATTGCGAATTCAAATCGCTGTCGAGGTTATTTCCGTGATGCTCGCAGCAAGAAGATTCTTTGCATTCCCAACTCATCTCCCAGTTGCCGTACGCGAGGAAGCGACGAGCACACAACCTCTCTTGTAGAGTCCATCCCCGCTTGTACAACGGCTCCTCGATGAAGTCATGCGAATCGGGCACTATTCTGTAGGTGAATGAAGTTCCGCTTCCTTTCACATCTAGACCAATTGTTCTTTCACAGGATTGCCTTGGTTTTCGGAGAAACCCTTCATTTGCTGATCCCGCTGCAACACCAGCCAAGACCAGCTCGGCATTGCTGTATATGCTCGCCATTTTACTTGATTGCTGCTCCCAATCCAAGGCGTCGTCTTGGACAATGCATAAACTATCAATCCAGATATGCGAAAATCCAAGCGCTCGGGTGATATATATGGCATCCGAGAATGTCCGGGGAAGATCATTGGCAGGAATTTGCTCCTGGAAGCCAGCCAGAGATCCCAACGTGGTTTTGAGTGGTTGCGAACCGCCCCAGCAGTGGCTGAGCGCAACATAGGAGCCCCGGGTCGACTCCTCTGGATTTAGCACAAGCTTAATGACATCGCCCCGGAGTTCGACAAGCCGAGAGGGACCAGCTGTATCAAACTTCTCATCGCACCGCCGATGCCCATTCTGACAGGTCGACAACCATTGTTTTGCCAAACTCAGGCACGCAGGATCTATGGCTTGCCGAGGGATCGGCTTGTATCTCTCTAAGAGAATGGGAAGACCAGAATCTGCGGTGTTGGTTTGGGAAACATATCTATCGAAAGGGCTAGCTTTACCTTCTAGATATATGGCGATCGTTGCATACACGCCGCGATCAACAGTATGCGGTAATCTGGAGAGTATGTTGACCAAACGTAGGAAGTACTGTCCGTTTGTAGCTTGTCCAATCTTCACATATCCTGATCTATAACATCTATATTGCTGTCCTGCATCCGCCCAAACCGCAGCTATAAGGCGACAAAATAGGCAGCCATTTGCTGCACCTTCTTCCCAATATCTCTGTGCCTCTTCCTGATTGAAGTATTCGGCCACCGACTTCAAGTCCAGATCGTCTGCAGAGAGGTCGCTGTTACAATTAGAACATCGCTTGGCCATGTCCGTGGGCATTATCGAAGGCGCAGGGCGTGTGAAAGCGTCGTGTTCGCTACCCTCATACTGCATAGCTATCGATCGTGTCGCGATGATGCAAGAGAATGAATTAGACAGGAAGAATAAACGAATTGGGAGGAATAAATTAGATAAGCTTCTGTGATGTTTGTATCGCGAACGTTTTCTCATGTCGGATGGTAGGATAGAAGACGTCAGGCTGAGGCAGAAGCTGAGCTAACATGCTAAACCCGCATGCTGCGTGATGAGTTGGCTGCGCGAACCCAGCCAATATAAACCTGATTTACGCGCCCTCCCCTGTACACTAGTAACAGCGCTATACACTCTGTTAAGAAGAAAAACTACACAGTTCTTGAAGCACCCCTTACCCCGCCCTACTATAGCGATATATGGTGAGAGCAATGGATATATACATAAAGAATCCAGAAGCCTACAATGCTTCTAGGCACTTTAGGTCTTCTCTTTAGAAGTTAATGTAGGCTGCAAGGTAAGGCCTCACATCTATATACTTATTTTATTTTCCTCTTGTATGCGGTAACAGAGGATCATGTTATCTTACCTAATACCAATGGCCTTCAAGAGCTTTTCTTTCTGTGTATTTCCAATCGCGCCTTCTGTTTCAACGTCCTTTACAACCTCGCTCATACTCTCCACCTCTATGACGCCCATACCATGTGCAAAGTGCCATAACTCTTCATCTTCATACCGTACCTGGAATGCTTGCCAGTTCTTTGCTTTTAGATCGTTGACATGTTCTGTGACAGCTATCGATGGACCAGAGTAGACGAGAACACCGGGATAACCAGGCTTAGTGATTCCACATACAGGAGGCGTCGCTGCTGGAGGTAAGAGAGCAATCTTGCGTTTATTGGTGTTTAGAAGGTGATGCAGCCATACGATGACAGTTTTAGACGTGTTGTCGTTGGCACCTGCCGTTGTGTCGCTACTTGCATCAGACGTGGCAGGAGCAGAATCGACGACCTGCTGGAAGGCAGCGACGATGGCATCAAGCGCTTCCTCTCCTCCAGCGAGCCCAACGTCCTTGACCGCAACTTTTACACGTGTCCGCAAGTCGTTCTTTGCTGCGTCAGTCGCAGAGATGATGTCCGGCAATCCTAATTCCGGATACGACTCCGGTAACCGAAGAAGGAGCGATGCATGGTTGTCGTGTGAGAACTTTAACTCCCGTGACTTGGGGTCATAGTGCGTCTGATCGGGATACATGGCCTCTAACAGCTCGAGCTCGGTTTCAAGGCGGGTGGGTCCATGGTCTGACATGGTAGATGCAAATGCAGCTGGAAGTTGGCGAAACGGAAAATTCTACTGTATGCTTTTGTTCGGCAACGGTGGTCAGGGGATTAGAAGTATCTGGCGTATAACCTGCTTTTGTTGCAAATCAAGACGCAGTGAGTGGACCGGTGTATCAAGTGATGCTTCGTATTAGGATAGTGTGGATGGATGTATTGGCCTCTTCTTCTCAGGATCGCGATCTTCAAGTCTAGGCCCGTGCATAGTGTCCTGGATGACATGGGGACCAAAACAATGGGTCAGTAGTTCGTGCCGCATAAATGATAAGAAACGTAGCTCGTTGTTGGATGCATAAGTGGCGCTGGAAGAGGCCCATATTTCGCTTGTGTCTCATCTTTTAGCCCGCTGCTGTCACCGGGGTGATGAAGGGGAGGCATGTCAACAATCTTGCTTCGCGGCGGCTACATGAACAGGCAGAGTGCTCGTCCAACAGCAACAAAGCTGTGCGCAGGAATTAACGCCTCAAGACGCGTCCCTGCTGCAAGATACACCCGCTTTATAAAGAGGGCGTCGTGCCCGGTGCATCCGACCGTGAAACTAAAACCAATAAGCTTTCCTGATCGAGCTAGCAGGCGACGCGGAGTTCGCGCGCTACTGGGCTCGTGTGCAGGCCGCCCAGAGAGGTGCTAACCACCCCCAAGACGCATCAATTACCTCAAAGACCATCTCGAGAGATCTGCACGCTCCCAAAGAAAACATTGCACCTCAGACCCGAAACCATATCCGCTGCCATCCTCTCGTGAAGACTCACAATCCATCTTCTGCAATCAGCACCCACGGCACCCTCTCTGCAGCGACGCAATCATAGTCTTACACCAAACCAGCACTTTACGCATACCTCCACGCACACGCTTCCACACGACTGCCGATTCAAAACGTCGATTCTTGAAAGGGCCCATGAGCCGTAGCCTCGCCGAAAATGAAGGCTGCTCCGCTTTTGGTGTCCTGGCACAATGAGAACGCTCCCATATACTCAGCTCACTTTGAGCCGCACGGCAAGGGACGTCTGGCAACGGCTGGCGGAGACAACAATGTCCGGGTGCGTCACCATGCACATATCAACGACTTGGACTTGCGCTAATATATATAACAGCTTTGGAGTGTCGAGACACATGGTGAAGAGCGCAGGGTCACCTATCTGTCAACCCTCGTAAAGCACACACAGGCCGTGAATGTGGTACGATGGTGTCCACGAGGTATTTCGCTTCTGCATATGCAAACAAGAACAGCAACTAATCTCTTATAGGCGAAATGCTCGCGAGCGCCGGCGACGATGGCAACGTCCTGCTGTGGGTTCCAGCTGAGAACCAGACCACGCACAACTTCGAAGAGGGTCTTGAAGACAAGGAGACATGGCGGGTCAAGGCCATGTGCAGGTCTATAGGCTCTGAGATTTACGACCTTGCCTGGTCTCCAGACGGCGTCTTCTTCATCACAGGAAGTATGGACAACATTGCCCGCATATACAACGCTCAAACTGGTACGACATCTGCCCTGGTACCACCTGTCCGATAGTTGCTCAATAATCTCTAGGAAGCATTGTACGCCAGATCGCCGAGCACAACCACTACGTTCAAGGCGTGGCATGGGATCCCATGAACGAATACATCGCAACCCAGTCGTCCGATCGATCCGTGCACATCTACACACTGAAGAACAAGGACGGTCAATTCTCGTTGGCCCAGCATAGTAAGGTCACCAAGATGGACCTACCCGCGCGACGTGTATCCTCGAATAGTCCTGCACCTCCAGACTTCGGCGGCCGAGCGTCCTTCGTTGCCGACTCAATGGCCATCGGCTCGCCAGTGCCATCAATGCCTGGCACACCGCAATCACTGGCCCTCCCGACCATGCATCCGCCGCCAACTTCACACAGTCGTCGTTCGTCCTTTGGCTCCTCCCCATCGATGCGCCGCTCCGCCTCGCCCGCTCCCTCAATGCCACTACCAGCGGTCATGCCGAACTCTCCCAGTATCAGCAGTATCGGCACGATTGGGGTTCGCAATGCACCCATCTACTTCAACGAAACCTTGACCTCGTTCTTCCGACGCCTTACATTCGCCCCCGATGGCAGCTTGCTGTTCACGCCCGCAGGCCAATACAAAGCGATACACCCGTCAATTGGCGAAGCGAAACCAGCCGAAGACATCACAAATACAGTGTACATATATACTCGCGCAGGGCTGAACAAGCCTCCAGTTGCATATCTTCCGGGTCACAAGAAGCCATCGGTTGCTGTTCGATGCTCGCCGGTGTACTATACCCTACGCCAGACTGTTCCACCAACAAGGCAGATCACCATCGATACTTCAAACATGGACGACGAGATTCCTTCCTTACCCGAGCCAGTCATGCCTTCAAAGCCTCCTACGTCTCATTCATCCATGGATCCTCCGCCCATTACAAGTGCACCTTCTCCTTCCCCAAGCCTCTCAGCACCGTCACCAAAGCCTACCGATGGCGAAGCTTCTTCCCAATCTGGGGTGCCAGCCGGGCCCCCATCAGCTTTCACTCTCCCCTATCGAATGATTTATGCCGTTGCGACACAAGATGCTATTCACATTTATGATACGCAACAACAAAAGCCACTGTGCATTGTCAGCAATCTTCACTTTGCTACTTTTACTGATATTACTTGGTAAGTGATTGAGAACGACATTAGCCTGTGACGCGACTGACATGTTCATAGGTCTAATGATGGCTCAATGCTGTTGATGACCTCCTCTGACGGCTTTTGTTCATCGGTCACATTTGCTCCTGGCGAACTTGGAGAGAAGTACACTGGACCGCTAGCTGTCCATAGTCGACCACAGCAGACACCTGCTGCGATCAATACCACAGGGGGCCACGCATCGAACAACTCTACTCCAACCCCCACACCAACGACTGGGAGCATGTCAGCTACTGCGACGGCTACTGCGCCACCTATGCAGAGGCAACCATCTGCAGGCTTCCCAGCCTCTCCGAGCTCGTTCGTCCCTGCAAGACCTGGCAGCCCCACAAGGAGCAACTCTGTTTCCAGCATTGCTACTGCTTCGTCCTTTGCTCCAGGTGCAGGTGACCAGAGCAATATGAACGCCCCAACCCCAGCTATGTCGTCTGTCCCTAGTATAGCTGCTGCCAATTCTGGGCCTGTACCAATGTGGACGCCACCCCTTACGCCAGCTCATGGACAAGGCGCGACTCACAGTGCAAGCAGCTCAGTCAGTGGCATACCCAACATCGGCCAGGTCGGACGAAGAGAAAGCGAAATGAGCGAGTCTGACCGCGACGATGTATCTTCAACCTCGAAGAAGCGAGAGTTGCACGCGGTGCCAGAACCGGACGTAGATGCGAGAGAGAGTAAGAGACGACGAATTGCGCCAACACCAATTACAATGATGGCGGAGGGCGACAGTGCAATTGCCAGCACCGAAGAAGATACCCCCACGCAGACGCCAGGCCAGCAGTAGGCTTTTCATATCGTTCAACTGTTCCTCCGGTTTGATGGTTGCGTATACCTTCTTTTAAGCATGGCGTTTAGGATATTAGAGTTTCACCCACGGCGGTGTCATGTACAGGGCTTTTCTTCTGCCTGATCATATACTAGCAGGATGTGTTTATCATCCGACTGCACGATGATACGTGCGATTCATGGTCCAAAAGATAGGTCACAATCAATGCAGGTAAATTCAAATAGAGTCACCCTCCTAAGGCGACATGTGCATTCTTCGTCTACATTTTTATTCTCCCAATCAACCTTTCTGACGTCGGCACCTCTGTCGCATGTAGCCGATCTCCGTATTCAATCACCTCGCGCGCGCATCTCCACATACACACACACCCGTCCGACATCCGACTATACAAGCCGTTTACGTTGCAAACACCTTCCCACAGTGGTATCGGTATCGCTAGCAACGCAACCCCCCAAGAGATTCCAAGAGATTATCCCCTGTCACGACCAGCCCGCTTACCATGTCAGCCAATCACAGTGCAGCCATGAGCTTAGCAACCGGCTTCCTTGATTTGTCGCGTTGATCGCTGTCGTTCGGCCCAAGCGAAGAAAACGTGGTGGGATCGGACGTTGCATTGGGTAGGAAAAGCGGAGGGAGAGGAAATGTTCTTGTCCTTACGCTATATTGCTGCATGTGCCCGCCGGTGAGATGGATAGATATCGGCGCCATGTCGATGCTGTAGATGTTTAAGTCTACTTAACCCCTCTGCGCTTGCTGGGCCCTGTGCTCATCCTCCCCCACCCTTCTGTTTTAGTACGACGCATCATTCTAATTTGCTTTTTACCTTGGCTATCTTTGCGGTGGCATGCTAAATGTCGCGTGCGAACTTCTTTGACGCTTGGGTAGAAGTGTTTTGAACACAAGGTACTCTTGGTGGTGTGTCTCGTTCGCGTCGCCCGTGAGCCCGTTGCGAAGATGGACGATACGGCTAAGATTGGAGATGATAAGAAGGTGGTGCAGGAGCAGGGACGGGAGCACGATCACGATGTCGAACAGCAAGATGCATACGGCGAGACGAGGAGTTTGGGTAAAGACGATATTTTACAGCTCGAGCATACGGATCCGGTACTAAATGCAAAGATGCATTTGGTTAATAATGCTATCGACGAGGTGAGCTTTGATTTCAGGAAGAGAGTCTAGTTGTGTGTACTGATTGGTTGGGTGTTTGCAGATTGGATTTACGACGTATCAATGGAAGGTATTACTTGCCGTTTCCACGAACACTTGGACGTGTATCTAATCTCGTTTAGCTCTTCGTCTTGAACGGTTTCGGCTACGCTGTCGATTCGCTCATCCTACTTATACAATCCGTCATCGCTGCCCAGGCCACCCTCGAGTTCAATCCTTCCTACCAAAACGGGTTGACTATCGCTGCGTACGTTGGTATGCTCATGGGCGCTTTATTCTGGGGCCTATCTGCCGATATTATCGGGCGAAAGACGGCCTTTAATGTTAGTCTGCTGATCTGCTCCATCTTTGCGATTGGTACGTTTCAATTGTACAACGTGTTTGTGAGACATGAACTAATTTCGTATGTACATCTTTGTAGTGGCTGGTGCAAGTCCGAATTGGGAGGTCTTGGGCCTGTTTGTATGCTTGAGTTCTTTTGGCGCTGGGGGTAACTTGGTGCTGGACACTGCCGTATTTCTAGAGTATCTGCCTAGTTATAGGCAGTGGATGCTCACACTCATGGCGGCTTGGTGGGGTACGTGACACCTTACTTTCGGTCGATCAGAGTTGTAGCAACAAGATCATCAAGCATACTGCATACTAACCAACCCACACAGGCATCGGCCAACTCATCGCCGGTTTCTTTGCTTGGGCTTTCCTCCCAAACTTCAGCTGCGCAGATCCATCCATTAACCCAACGGCCGAACCTTGTACAAAGTCCAACAACCAAGGCTGGCGCTACGTCTGGTACGCTTCCGGCTCTTTAGTCTTCGTCATGTCCATCCTCCGCATAACCGTCATCCGACTGAAAGAGACGCCCAAGTTCCTCGTCAGCGAAGGAAAAGACGCAGAATGCGTCGAAACTCTCCACTTCATCGCAACAAAGTACAACCGCCCCTGCAGTCTCACACTCGCCCAGATGCAAGACTGCGGCACGGTAGATCGTGTGGCAACACGGGGGAACAAGAGTAAATGGGGTTTTGGAGAAATCGCCATGCACTTACGCGGTCTTTACTCGACGCGAAGAATCGGTATCTCAACGTCTCTAATCTGGCTCTCCTGGACACTAATTGGTCTCGCTTACCCGCTCTACAACGTCTTTCTCCCCGCTTACCTTCGCTCCCGCGGCGCCGCTTTTGGTGAGCCCTCGCCCTCTATCACCTGGCGCAATTACACGCTCGTCAATTTCAGCGGTATCTGGGGTCCCGTACTAGCTGGTTACATGTGCCATACGCGTCTTGGTCGGAAGTATACAATGGTCATTGGCGCGTTGGTTACTATGGCCTTTTTCTTTGCGTATACGCAGGTTCGCACTGCGGTGCAGAATGTGGCGTTTACGTGTATCATCAACTTTTGTTTGAACATTTATTACGGAACGCTGTATGCGTATACGCCGGAGGTGCTACCGAGTGCGCACAGGGGTACCGGCAATGGGATTGCGATTGGGTGGAATCGTGTCATGGGGATCTTGAGTGCGGTTATTGCAACGGTTGCTGATGTAAGTCTTTTCTCTTTTTTTTTTCTTGTTAACCTTTCTCTTTTTTCATCAGATGCTTGGTATGAGGATCTTGTGGGTTTTGTCGCTAACGTGGGAGATCAGACTGGAACTGCCGTCCCGATATACATTTGTGCGGCGTTGTATATCTTTATGGCGGTGATTGCGGCGGTTTTTCCATTCGAACCGTACGGCAGGAGAAGTTCGTAGGGAGTACGCATAGGTAGTCGTCAACTACGCTTTGGGTTGCACTATCTCAACTCGAAGCACTGGGAGCAATCACGTGGAAGAGATGCATTGCATGTATCGGCGAAATTACATTGACGACAGTTCGTGAATACCTCAAAAACGTTTACCGTTTGTTGATGCTACCCAAGCCCATACTAAGTTGACAACGTACCCTATCCTACCATGCGTATTCAGACATTAGGCATGTTTCTTTTCTTCATCTTTCAAACTGTTGTGATGCATATGCTCGACACCCAAACCAGCTCCATCCGCTGCGACGTGGGCTACGGCCTTAACTGCCAGGTCATCTGCCACGGTGACGACTCCATGTTGTATCCCTTCTGCCAACAACACTTCAGCACCCCAGCCTCCAACGCCCAGCGTGGCGATCCCCACAGCGCCACTGAACATTGCGGATCCCATTACATCCCGTTTGCGAGTCCTGTGCTGCTCTTGGTAGCGACAAAGATGTCGATCGATGATGTCGCGTTTCTTTCGGGCATTATGTATGCCTGCACCTCCAATCAAGACTCCAATCCCGCTAATACCGAATGTGAAAGGTACTGCAAGGCTGGAGATAGTGGTTGAGGTGGCCGATCCGGTGATCAGACGTGTATAGTGGTTCCATTCACGTTGCAGCTCTTCCAACGACATTTGAGAGCATTCCGCATTGTACTTATCGAAATTGAATGGCATTGCTGTGAAATGAAGTAGGTGGACTCTGGAAGTAAGAATAGAAAAGAGGTTTTGGAATAGCGCTCGTCGTGAGAGGTTGGATCTATTCGACAATGACCAATATACGATCCTGCTTTATACAAGTTGATGCTCGCTATATTCAGTATCTAACATCAGTCTACTCACATGGCGCACAGGCTGTGGCCTTCAGCCTCTGTGTAGCGAGACTTGCACCATATGCGCAGCTGGGGCTGAGGTCAGCTTCTTTTATTTGTTCGGTTCTCGCAACAAATCTGAACCACAACCAGAAGCTTTGATATGTGACCTATCATATCAAAGCTCTCAGCATAGCCTCTGTATCGAAGTAGTCAACCTCACAGCCGAACGCTATAGTGGCCTCACGGTACATTAGGCAGAACTGAGATATGGATGTCAGCTGAATCGAAATAGCAAGTCGCTAGCCTCTTCTCCTATGGTCTTATGGCTTGCGACTAGAGATATTTGACCATGAATTGGTTTCTGTGATTTCGAGACTCTTATGAGGGCTAATCAGACTTAATCCTGACAGTAATATGGTACATCGAAGTGTTTGAGTAAAAGATGTTCGTGATCGATGGTAGACGCCGGGGCTGGAAGAGCACATGTCCGAAACAAAAGCAAAAACAACCAAGCCAGATGATACGTAAATGCATTACCAATGAGCTGAACATTCCATCATTGCGGGGATTACTATTTTGGGCTCCAGGAATTGCCATTGATGCAGTACATGACCTAGTGCAGTCTCACTCTGTCTCAACAAGCGATCAAGGTTTAGCAGAAGATATCCACATGTCTGCGCTTTCTTACTTTAGATTCGGGCTTAGAACGTTAGATGTGATGTTTCTAGCTTCAGCACCGCATGTCGTACGTTTCCGTTTTCGCAAGCCAGAAGCGCCGCACTTGTCCTTGGTCTCGCACGGATATTCCTTTTCGTACTGCATTTACTGCTCGTCCTCTTGTTCACCTTTGCATCTTATTTCAGTTTGGCGAAAAAACCTACGCTATACCCTGGAGGTATGCATCGTTTCTTTCATCGACACCGGTAGTCACAAGCGATGTTGTACACCTTCATGCTGCAGTATACAATTGCACAACAAATTACAAATTCACCCAGAATTCAGGACACGCGATCAGAACAGCCGGGTCAACGCATGCTACAATGCACCGATATTAGGTCTCCGAACTAAGCATACAGCCAGCTTTCCCAAGACCGAGTCTGGGACGAGGGAATGGCTCTTCGGGAGCACTTTCCGGACTCACTTGGCCTCCCCAAAATTGCGACGTTGGGCAAAGTCAATGGGTAAGGGGTGAATATAGGCTTGATGATAAAAGAAGGACGAGCGTACCAGGCCATCTACTATGTCATTACGCTAGCTAGTTTTACCAGTATTCCTCTCCAAACGCGCTGATAGATGCGACATGGTATCTGCAATAGAAGGGCAGCTCAGTATCTCCTCAACACTCATATGAATACCCCTCTCTGAGTATTCGGAAGCGAATGCGGCAGCGGCTACACTGTTACCCCAGAGTTCATAGAAGGGGGTCTTATCTGTGAATCCAGGATGTAACCTGAAGTCGGATCCCAATACTGACTCCCAAGCAGATAGCACTAGCTCCTCCAAAGCTTTGGGACATTCTGTTGCTGATATTGATGAATCTTTTACCAATTCTTCACGGCTGGTAGAACCCTCACGTGGCGCAACCATATCCAGCTGAGGAAGAGCTTCAGACAGTGGCCGCTCCAATGCATCAGGTAGCTGTTGGTATGCCTTTATGAAGCTATCCAATACTGTCTTCACCCAATCTTCCGAGAAAGCCTTTGTGGAATATCTTAACTCAACTTCTAGCTTGTCATCGCGAGCGAACGTTTGCAGCCAAAGGTCAGCTTTGTCATGCTCGGGTTCATAAACGCTAAACTCGCAGTCAGCAATTCCGGAGAACGGCGGCTTGACGAGCTCGAAGCTAAGATGGTTGACCACTGTAGAGAAGCGCGTCCACCGAGGCCAGTTGGTGCAATTCTCGATGATGCGGTAATGCCCGAGATGGCCGTACTGAAGTGATTTGAGATAATCGGCCTGAACCGAGCTGAGGAGCGATGAGGTCAACGCAGTGGATACGACATTGGTACGTAAAGGTAGAATGTTCATGCATGGTCCGAGGATCTCGGAGACACCGGGCATGGGAAGATGTCTTCCAGAGATTATGTATCCGAACACAACAGAGTCTTTGTTTATGAGTTTCGACAATACGATCGACCAGGAGGCAAGAACGGCGGTCGCACTCGTGTGCCCGGAATTCTTCAAGTCCACCAATGGAATGATTGCTTTGACGGCGCTGTTGATGGGGTAATCAATGCTGGGAAAGGCTTGAGGACGAATTTCGCTCATCGTGCTATCGGCCAGAGCCACTTTCCAGAAGGATTCGGAATCCTTACTTGCTAGAGAAGCTTCCGCCGAGAACTTGGTGAAGGGAATAACTTCCAGTGTCTTGTCAAGATACAATGCTTCCAATGATCGCCATAACTTGTTAAGACTTAATGCATCGTACTGAGCATGAGAGATTCGTAGGACGAGTTGGTTCGTGTTTTCCGCGGGATTTTGTACCAAGGTAAAAGCTACCAAAGGATCACCGAGTTGAGTATGTCGCTTCATGTCACGCTCAATGGTGTTCTTGACAAGCTCATCCACGTTCTGGCCGTTGCTCGCTTTGATAAGGCCGAAGTGGAATGGGTAAGCTTTTGAGTTCAGGATAACCTGAAAAGTCTTCCTTGACTTTGGGACAAAGACTGTTCGTAAGAGCGCGTGCCGCTCTATGAGCTGTTGGCAAGCATACCGCAGCTTCTCAACATCCAGCACTGTAGAAAACCTGAAGATCATGTAGTCATGCCAGCCATGAGACTTGAACAGACCTTGACCGATGCACCAAGCTTGCCAATCTGTTGCTAGAGCGATGTCTTCGACATCTTCCTGTGCAATACTCGGCGCAATCTCATTTATCGTGTACGTCAATTCTTCGCTTTCTCGCTTGGTCGACTGGTCAATAACCCCGAAGCTGGCCGCTTTGCTCATAGCCTGAAGGGTCCGGTGTCGGAGAATGTCTTCGATGGAAACACAAATATGCTGCGTTCGTGCTTCCGCGATCAACTTGATACAATGCAAAGAATCGCCACCGAGATGGAAGAAATCATCTTGCAATCCGATGTACTCGATAGGAAGACCTAATACGGTACTCCACAGACCTTGCATCGTCTCCTCTTGCAAAGTTACTGGTGAGGCCTTATCTAGAGAACCGGTGTGCTTTACCAATTCAATCAGTTGCATGTCGGCAGCTTGTTTGCGCAAAAGCTTCCGATCCAGTTTTCCGGATGCGTTCAGTGGTCGTTCTTTTAGCTCCACAAATCCGCGAGGTACCATGTGATCCGGAAGTGTAGTCGCTAATTTCTCTCTCAGCTGCTTAACCTCGTTGGGAAACTCCGCGGATAGGCCGTGAATGAAGGCAACAAGCATAGGCCCAGTACCGCTCATGGGCTCCACAATCTCCGCTGCAACTGTCACTCCCGGTGGTAGACAATCAAGCATGGACTTTTCCACCTCTCCTAGCTCGAAACGCTGCCCGTGCAACTTGACACGCGTGTCTTTCCTCCCCACGATCTGGACAACGCCATCCTCCACATACTTTGCCAAATCTCCGGTTCGAAACAATGTACGTGGTCTCTCTACTCCCCTCTTTTCTGCCCAGGTCGGTGGCCCCACAATGAATGCCTTTGCATTAGCTTCCGGATCATTTCGATACCCCTGACACAACGCTGATCCTTCGAAAAGTAGCTCTCCCGTTTCTCCAATTGGCGCCAATATGTTCGCATCGTCTTGATCCACGATCCAGGCACAACCCGTCATGAACTGCCGCGCTCTACATTTCTTTCCGCTGATGTCGATGGCATTGGCAATACCCACACCCTCTGTCATGCCAATGGCCTCCACAAGCGATAGCCGCGGTGCCCAGATATCAATGAGACGCTGAGTAACAGGCTCACCACCCACAGTCAGAAACTGTAGACAAGACACCTCATCCGGTTTTAACAGGTTCAGCAGCGTGGGCGTAAGAAATGTCCGCGTGATTTCTTTTCGGGTGATGAAGTTTGCTATACCGCCCATGCGCTCACGCTCTGGTGGAAGGACCAGTAAACCACCGTTGCACAGCGTCTTCAATGTAGTGACAATGCTGGCAGCGAAGGCTTGGGAGGCAAAGTTAAGAACGCGACTGTTGGCCGCATAACCATGACCATGGACCACGTTTGAAACCGCACTGCTTTGCGTATGCTGGACCACCTTGGGCAAGCCCGTGGACCCAGATGTGAAGCATACGTAGGCAAGATCGTCGGGTTGGCCAACAGGCAGATCAGATCTGTCGTTCGTTCCCACGTTAGAGCTACTACTGCATATCTCCGACACATTCGCCACCAGCTTCATCTCACCCTCTCCAGGAAATCTGCCTTTGAACTTTTCCTCCACCAACATCACCCGAGGGCTGATCGTGGCTAGACACGCATGTAATCGCTCCGTTGGATTACCAGGATCAAGAGTCGTATACGCTATGCCCGCTTTCGACACAGCCATCATGCAGACGATCAGCCAGATGGATTTGTCGAAACAAATTGGAACAATTTCATCGGCCGTGATATCATCGAGCGTGATGCGGAGATGTCGAGCTAGACGCGTTGAGTAGTCTTCAAGTTGCGTATATGTTAGCGTACCGTCTGGGGCGTCGACGGCGGGTGCATCAGGGGAGCGATTCACTTGTGCGGAGAACACTTGGGTGATCGGAAGGTGAGGTTTCGGCGGTAGTGATGCATTCCAAGACCATATTTGGTCTTCTTCATCTTGAGTGATTATTCTCTTCTCGACTTGCGATGTGTCACCCATTGCCGCGGTGATGAGTGGTATTAGTGCCTGGTGATGACGATATTGGTGGTGAGAATTGAACGTGATCGTGAAGATAATACAACTACGGTTGCCAGCTGCCTTTGACATCTTTTGTATCATACTAGCTGCATATACTTGGTCTGTTCTGCCCCGCACCGTGTGTCACCGGACACTATTAGTACATTGAAATATTATTTGGCCGCTCGCCGGATTTCTCGGCCCAATTCGTTTTTCGGTCCGTAATAGATACGGCACTTCATCTAGAAGACAAGCATACTTTTCAGAAGCAGTGCACGACGATAAGAGATGCGTTTGTGATAGTGGCGGCCTTTAACGGTGCTTTCCATTTCGGTGTACTATCGACGATACCCTGTGACTCCCACTGAGCTGTCCACCTCATTGACGGGAAGGATGGCATGTGTAACAGTGCTCGCTATATAATTCATATTAAATATCATCAGATTCGCACCATTACTGCTCTTGAGAGATGAGAACACCTTGTCCAACTAAGATGACAAGCTGCATCGACTAAGATAAGTATCGATCAATTTTAACTACTACCATGGCTATGCCCAAAAGTGTGTTTTGCTCACACAGATACCTCGAGAATCTCAAAAAGAAACTGGTAACCCGGCTCCACTTGATCTCTCCACTCCTTGCTCTCTGGTTTCAAATGCAAATCATGGATATGTTTCACCCCTGGGATTGGCAGAAAGCCGCATTCTACCCTAGACTTCTCCAACTCCTCAATGAACAACTCAGCTGTCTTGAACGGAACAATCTCGTCTTCTGTACCATGAATCAAGAATGTAGGGACATTGTAAGAGCCTTCCCTCACATGTGCCATGGGACTGATTGCTTCGACAAGCGCTGGGTCGGGCTTCAAAGTCAGAGCTTCGCGGGAGACACCATGAAGCAGGACATTCAATCCGATATTCTCTTTGAGAACTGCAAAGATCAACTCTGAGCGTGGATCGCCTGGCTTGATCCAGCCCAATTGACTACTATCCATCATGGTTCCGTAATTTGTGACGGGCGTCCGTGGCAGAGATTGCATGATCTTCTCCAATCGCATTCGACGGGCAGGAAACTGCCTGTAATGCTTTTCACTATGGTGTTTCTCTAGAGAACCAGACTCGAAATCGGTCGGTCCATAGAAACCCAATATCGCAGAAGGGGGTGGTAGATTCAGCTCTTTGGTAGTCCAGGCAAGGCTCATAGCGAGGTGGGCTCCAGTGGACCATCCGATCGAGACGACGCGAGTTGTGTCGATAGATATACCGTATTTAGATGTGACCGCAGAGAGCTTCGTCTGGATCCACGCATACGCATCTCGAACGTCGGAAAATGGCCCTTCAATGACGTTGACCTCTGGTACCAAACGATAGTCCACACTGATAGGAAGAATGTTGTGCGAAAGCAAGAACTTCGTCTGTGCTGGTCTGACCGCTTTGCGCGACAGTGTCATGTGGCCACCTCCGTGAATCATTAATGCTGTACGATGTTTAGTGAAGATCAGAATCACATATGAAGGCTCATTTACCTACAGGCATTGAGCTGGTAGACGGAATGTTCGGCAGGTAGACATCCGCTTCGATCTCAACCCCATCGATGGATTTGTAAATAACTGTCTCAACACCAGTCACTGGCGACTCTATTGGACGATGCGGCTCTGGATATTGCTGGGCAGAAGCTACCAGTAGTCGTTGAAGATTACAATCAGGTACAGTACTTTGTGAGTAGGTGGCACTAGGAAATTCAGCTTGATGCATAAACTCCATCCAGACTGCTGGAGGTTGAATGGCATGTGTGGCATCGTTCGCCAACCACCAACCGTCTAGCAAACCAAAAACGGCCTCGTGCCAGTCGAACACGCTTGTGATTTCAGAAAGTACCAATAAACCGTTTGAGTTGAGCATCTGTCGGATTCTGCGGCAGGTATCAGTCCTGTTGGCTGTCGCATGGACACAATTCGTGCTAATAACAACGTCAAACTTCCCGAGCATATCGGTGGGCGGTGCAACCTCCAGGTTGAGTGTCTTGAACTGCATCCATGGGTACTTGAACTTCTTGGACGCGTTCCGAACAAGTGTTGAGGATATGTCTGTGAAGAAGTACTCAATCGGATGATTGACCGCACTAAGTGCTTCACCAAGACGCTTTGTCGTTCCACCCATCCCTGCGCCGACCTCTAGAATGCGAACTGGGCCGTTGGCTTTCTTGACCATGCGAACCATAAAGTCGACAAGCACTTCGGTCAGTGTGGCGAACATAGGAGCTTTGGTGTAGAAGTTGCCAACGATCTCTTGGGACTTGCTGGTGCCGAAGAGAAGTTTGACAGGATCTTCGGTTCCTGTCAAACACTCTGCAATCTTTGGGCCAGTGAGAGCCATGAGCTCAGCCTCGCAGCTGTATTGCGGGAAATCGATGATGAGCTGTTGCAGAAGCTGTGCGGAAGGCGCGAACGTGCATGGGCCAGATGATCGGACGTAAACGGCATCGTTCTTCTTCTTGATAATGCTGTGCTTCTCGAGAATCTCGTAGTACCTTTGGACCACCTTGTTGTGCTTAAATTGATAAGTAAAAGGAGGTAACCTCTCCCCTATTTCCATAGTCTTGAGATCGATGCCTAGTTTCCGGAACCCTTCAACGAGATAGGCAAGCAGTAGCTCATCTTGACGAGCAGCTACCTTGGCAAGATAATCTGTGAACCGGCAGGACATTGCATAATTCTGGAGTGAGGACTCTGCTTCCAAGAGAGATTGAAATGGCTCCGTGATGCCCGCGGACTGGTCAAGACCGCTTATAGAGATAGCGGGCGTTCGTGAGGTTGGCGGTGCCAAGAACGGGGAGCCCGGCTTTGATGAAGATATTCCAACTAGCCGCATGAGCTCTTTCACGGAAACATCAAGGAGAGTATCAACGCCATTGAGTTCGACATCGAACTCATCGGATATACTAGACCCGAGTTCCGTTGTAGAGAGGGAGTCAAAACCGAGATCCTGGAGAAGTTGGTGTTCGTAGATCTGGCTGACATCTGCACCACATAGCTCTGAAATGAGTTCGAACAACTTTGTACGTCGTAGATCACCAGAAGATTCCACAAGACTCTGGTCAAAACTTGAATCGGTCTTCGATTTTAGTTCGAGCACCTCAGATACTGGTAACGGAGCGGTCGCGGCCTGCTTCGCGGATGGCGTAGCGCGCTTTTGATTGGTCTTAGTGGCGCCAGGGAAGATTATCTGGCTTAATGCCCCAAAGCTCATCGTCAAAAGCTCACCAGGTGAGACCAGTTTTCCGAAGCGTTCACTGATCTCATCGGAGAGCTCTACCGCTGCTAGTGAGTCGATACCGAGATCACCAATGCATGTGTTCGAGGCAATAAAGTCTACCGGTGCACCGGTATACGTTGAGATCATTGTCTTCAATGGAGCCTCCCTGTCACCCAAATCTTCTTCAGCGACCGACGATGCACTGGAGAATCCAGAATCGCTGTCAGGTGCTAGCGATGTAGGCTTCTGGACTACGGTAGGCCTAGAGTTCTGGAAGGAAGCTATGGGGATGGAGAGAGACGGACGTGGAGCCTCTTTTGAACTAGCCCTCGATCCATTAGCTGAGTCCAGAGTTCGTTCAAGCTTAGAGATCTCCAGACGATGGAATTTGGTGCCAATAGCTGTCATGGCTACCTCGCCAGCTTTTGTTAAAACAAAGACGTCACCGGTCGCGTGCACATCATCAATGAGTGTGAAAATGGCGTAGACGCTCCATTCCTTGTGGACGTCAAAGTCGCAATGTCTCGACATGGTAATGTTTTCAAGACCCGAAGCCACAAATACTTGGCCAGGAGGACAAGCCTTGCTGCTGTTGATGAGCAAACCAGATACCTGGATGAACGCGTCGATGGAAACTGTGTCACAGTGCTTCGTCACAGAACTTTCGTCGCCTCCAACATGGCTGTCAGGCATCCGGATCTCCGCCAGTGCCTCATTCTTGTCTATGACGATGCTCTTGATCCCATGAAAGAAGTCGGCGTAATCGACAACCTTTGAGAAAAGCTTGTATGCTCGTCCACCGTTGAGCTTCTCTGCACTTGGACTGGATCGAATAGAGTCAAGGCGGTCAGCTATGAGTCGCTTGTATGTGGAAAACCGAGGGTTTTCGATCAAAAGCATTTGACCTCTGCCATGGACAGTTGCACGTGTCGAATGACTTGCAGAGCCGGGAGAACTCGAAAGCGTAAACTTCCAGCTGTGCCTAGTAGTTTCATCAAGGCTCAGGCTGACATCGCGGTCCAGGTTGACGCCCAAAGGCGATTCAAATGACAGATCCTCGAACGCCAGCGACTTGGAGTTGAGCTCGACTCCAAGCAGTTGTGCTGACATGGCTGCGCACTCCATATACATTGAAGCAGGACAAAGCGGCCGCCCTCGAACAGCATGTCCGCTGATGACTTCACGGAAGCGACTGGCCGAATTGTTGATGGCGAACTTTTCCGTACTGCCATTTGACCCAGCATGACACACCAATCGAGTGGAGACTGGGATGGATGCGGCCTCTGGCTTTTGCGAAACGAGAGTGGCTATACTTTGTTGGAGTTCAGTAGCTCTATCAATGTTCTCTGTAGCGGTGAAGGTACCAAGTCAGTAGACATTTCACAAAACTCTTGTACAGTTGCAACTCACCTAGCCACGCTTTAGATCTCTGGAACTGGTAAGGGGGCAACCAGATTGGCTCTACCCCAGCATCGGATGGAGAGAGGAAAGCCCATGGTGTAACGTCGATTCCTTCTTTCCACAGTTCAGCAGTGCTTTGAGAAAGAACCTCGGTAGGATGAACAGCGCTAGCCGTCTTGATGCTGTAGAACGAATGGATCTCTGACTTGGCACTCGCACGCTTGACCATGGGAATGATAGACGAATCAAACCCTGCTTCAAGCCAGATGCAACCCCCTAGTCGCTTCTCGATCCGCTGAACAGCGTCTGCAAAGTAGACGGGTTGTCGAACGTGCGATACAACATGCTCAGCAGTGATCGAGCTAGTATGTGCTTGTGTACATGGCTCGATAGGAATGAAAGCTTGTTTGAAAGTCAATGATTCCAAAGATTGAGCCAGGTCGCTGCGGATCGGCTCGGTGAAGGCAGAATGGAACCCATGGGTAACGTCAACCCTTTGGCTCTTGATACCCTTGAAAGAAGGGTCAGTAGCCAGCAATTTTTCCGTATCGGCCACTGCAGCTTGGGTGCCAACTACAACCTGGCTGTTGGGAGCATTGAAACAAGCAATTTCTAGGTTGTTGCTGTCAACAGCTTCAACTATGCGCGTGACAACAGCGATTGGTGCAAAAATTGCAAGCATAATGCCTCTTTCCGGTCCCCATTTAGTTGCCATGAGCTGCGCTCTCGTAGCAACAAGCTTAAGAGCATCTTCGATAGAGAGCACACCGGACACGGCCAATGCGGACAGCTCCCCAAAACTGTGTCCAACGATACAGGCCGGTCGAATGCCGGCATCCATCCAACACTTAGCGCTTGCGTATTGAACAGCCATGGTACCTGTCTGCAACAGAACTGGGTCGGTGATGATTGAACTCTGGAAGATAGCCGGGATAATCGACGGACAACCGATCGTGAGAAGGATGCGCTCACACTCCTCGATGTAGTGGCGTAGCCTAGGGATGGAATTGTACAGTGTCTCCGACAGACCGACTGTCTGCTTGCTCTGACCCGAGAAAGCAAGTACCACACGTTTGGATGAGGGCGTGATGTTGCATGGTCGAATAATGGTAGAGATTTCTCTCTGCAAGCCTGCAATCTCGGAAACTGTTGTGACCCACGCTACTGGATGCCGCTTCCGTCGCTCAGATAGCGTGTAAGCAAGACTAGCAAGGTCGGGATTCTCTCGAGTAATATACGACTTCAGAGACTCTGCGTAGGCTTTGAGGCTCTCGATTGTATGAGCCGATAGTACGATGGGGTACTGAGTACCTTCAGGGAGGCGTAGTCGTCTGTTCAAATATATTAGTGTTAGTCTTGCTGGCATTGGTGTGTGAACTCACGCTTCCTCATTGCTTTTCCGAGGCCCTTCACAAACAACGAGCGACGCATTGCTTCCTGCCGCTCCGTAGTTGTTGACCCACGCCGCTCTAAAGGGTACCTCCCAGGGCTCAAGATCCTTTGCGATAGCAATCTTATCTGGGCCCAACGAAGGAATCTTCGGGTTCAAGGAGTTGAACAATGCGTGGGGTGGGATAGCCTTCTTCTGCAACATCGCAATGACCTTGAGTAGTCCAGCAACCCCCGCAGCTGACTCTGCGTGACCGGTGTTGGCTTTGATGGAACCGAGATACACCTTAGTAGGTCGATCTGATCCACCAAATACGTCCCTGATACTGCTGACTTCGAGAGGGTCGCCGGCTTGCGTACCAGTGCCGTGAGCTTCAACGTATGACACATGGTTTGGGCTCATGCCGGCACGCTTGAGAATTGACTGGTACAAGCTGACTTGGGCTGAGGGTTGAGTGACTGTCAAAGACGCAGACAAACCACCTTGGTTCGTAGATGATCCCGGAATGACACCGAACACCTGGTCGCCATCTGCCAAAGCCTGTTTCAAGGGCTTCAGCACGATCATCCCAGCACCATCTCCACGACAGTACCCATCTGCCGACTGGTCAAATGGCTTGCATTGACCAGTAGGACTGAGGAAGCCAGCCTTTCCCAGGTTCAAGTAATTGTGAACACCGGATATGATGTTGACTCCGCCAGCGACCGCCATAGGGCACTCGCCTGACCAGATAGATTGGCACGCGCGATTGATAGCGACAAGAGAAGAAGAGCAGGCGGTATCGATAACTTCCGCGGGGCCAGTCCAACCGTAGTGATAGCTGAGTCTTCCGCAGAGGAATGCGCGAATCGTACCAGTTGCTGTGTATGCAGTCGGAGCATGAGCACCAGTATTATCCGTGTACTCGATGAAACTCGCTCCGATGAAGCAGCCGACCCTGTCTCCATCCTCACGAACATGTCTGCGGAGATAGCCCGCCGAATCCAAAGCCTGGAACGTCAGTTCCAATAAGATTCGCTGCTGAGGGTCCATGCTGGCAGCCTCTTTGGCGTTGGAACGGAAGAACGCCCAGTCGAACTCATCGGCCCCATCGATGAAGTTGCCGAACCACTTCGGCTTCCACTTTTCGTTCTGGAGCGCCCGAAAGCTCTCGTGCATTGGAACTCTGTCATGGCGGATCTCTTCGCAAGTCGATGTGCCAGCGACCAGAAGCTGCCATAGTTCTTCGAGGTCGTTTGCTCGTGGAAGTCGGCAGGAAACTCCTGTGACGGCGATGGCGTCTTCCGGACTGATGACATGCGTTAGCGTGACGCTAACTTAAGCGAGATAAGCCTCTCTCCAGCATCCTTCCAGGCAACTTACTATTTGTATTCAGCCAACCTAGCTTCCTGAATAGCGGTATGAGCTTCCACTTTCGCCACCCGCAAACGGGCATTGTGGAATGGCATGAGAGGCACCGGGTCTCCAATCCCAAACAGCGCGAATGTATGGGAATCAGTACCGCTTCCCGCCAGGTCTTGCGCCACCTCTTTCAAGAGCCGATACCACTCGCATCGGGACGCAAGAATCGTATCGATTGCCTCATATGTCAACGAACACTTATCCAGCAGCTTGCCATTCAAGTTCGATCGCACAGGAACTCGCAGCTGACTTGCATCAGGCAACGTCATCTCATCATGCTCTTGACATATATCAAAGAGCACTTTAACTAGAGGCGCATTTTCTGGGTTGTGTACTTTGCCGCGGATGTGTATGTCTGTGACTAGTAACCCTTGGTCACGAGCTCTGTTGGCCACCTTCATAAGCTCAATCACCGGGCCAACAATACTTATCGTTCTTGGGTCGGTTATTGCGGAGATGTAGCACTAAAGTGTGTCAGTACATGGCTGTAGCACGGACAAGACAAAAGCTAGATGCGCTCGGCTTGTGTCCATCACTAAGCCAAGTCACGATTGTGTAAATGCAGCTAACGGAAAGGCGATAAGGAATTCTTGCTGGGAACAAAGATCGAAAATGACTTACGCCAGGGATGCCCTCCACGAGCTCCTCTCCTTGCTGAGAGGCTCTCAATCGTACCGCAATGGTCGTCGCTCCTTCAATCGACTCGTCGTCGCCCAACTCACCAAACGCGCCCACAGCAAGAGCCAGCCGCAGAGCTTTGGTAGCAAGACGAACCACATCTTCTTCGTCTTTCGCGCAGGAGATGGCAAAAGCTGTAGGGAGGCCTCCGCAATATCCCTGGGCACCTCCGCCATTCCTCAGACTTGACAGCATTTGCTCATGCGTGAGCTTGTGCAACTCCAATAGCTGGAAGTATTGGCAAATCTGGATAACGACCAACAATGGCAACGCCAAAATCCCTGACATGGAGCTGGAAACTGGTCCAGCTATTCCATTGGTAATCCATCGCTCTAGACTGACGACGTGTCGTTCGCCTGACTTGAGGTTGGCGATATCCGTGTGGCCCTTGCAGAGTGTCTTCCACGTGTCTCTTAATGATGTGATGGCCTCTGCAAAAGGTTGAAGAAGAGGTGTTTCAACAATGTACTTTTGTAATTGCTCGAGGTACGCCTCTGTGGGGGCCTTACTCTGAGGGCAAAAGAAAGCCACAGATGGCGCAAAGTGGCTAGCTTGGCTGCGCATACTAGAAAAAGAACCTGGATTCTTGAGATAATTCCAGAAAAAGTTGAGATGTTGAATCAGACGATGGATCGTTTATTCTCCCGAGCTACGGTATTCTACGTTGGCTATATACAACCTACGTCCGATATGCGAATCGTCGTACACAAGCCTGGATTACTCGCAACACTCTTCAAAACGGACCTACTTACACATCCTCTACGATACAGAGATTGGAAACTGTCCTAGAATGTAACTCATGGTGGATACAGTTTTCCTCGCTTGTCTTGATCAAGTCTAGGGTTGCACACAGTGCTGGCGAAGAGACGCCGAGTAACGACCGCACATCTGGCCATGCATCCAGAAAAACACCGAGTGCGAGGGAGCTGTCGCGTGATGTCGAATGAAGGTAGTAATGTCCCTTATCGCAACTGAGTAGCGGTCAGTCATGGCTTGAGATAACCCGATAGTCATGAAACCAGATGAGCGTTTTGATTATCATTTTGTTGATCCGGTATCTTCTCTTTTCTCGCGGAGCATCTTTGTGTTACCTGCGTACGGTGAACCTCAGTATGGCGATTATACTACTTCTTCTTCGGATCGTCTCTCTAGCAGTAAGTCCAACCATTGCCATTGCAATTGTTTTGAAGTTCTAAGCTTGGCTAGGTCACGTCTATCGTCGGATGGCTGGTGTACAATGTTCTCTTTCACCCACTTCGAAAGTATCCGGGTCCACTCTTGTGGCGAGCGTCCCCTATACCCCGCATTCTCTCCAGATGGAGGGGTACCACAGTGTTCGATGCGCACCGCCTTCACGAACAATATGGTCCAGTTGTGCGCTTGAGCCCTTGGGAGTTAAGCTATACATCCAGTAACGCATGGAAGGGTAATTGCGACCTTGTTCTATTCTGAGTACATTGTCACTGATTCTATCAAGATATCCATGGGACAGGCAACTCCGCACCCCGAAAGCCTCTACCGAAGAACCCTCTTGCTAACCCTCCGCCCATGTCAGGCGAGCCGGGTATCATCGACGTTCTGGACGACGAGAAGCATCGTGAACAACGCCAACTCTTTAACCAAGGGTTTTCCACTCGAGCACTAAAGGAACAAGAGTCTCTGCTACGCAAGCATGTCGATAGACTGGTCGCAGCAGTGCAGTCACGCGCCGACCAAGGTCTCGAGACAAACATGGTGGATATGTTCAACTTCCTGGCCTTTGATGTTATGGGCGATCTTGCTTTCGGTGCATCTCTGGGGCTACTAGAGCGGTCGGAATACAACAGTTGGGTACGGGTGATTGTCGCGACTATCAAAGTCGTCACCATTCGCATTGTTGTGTTCTACCATATTCCATTTGCATCCCAGATTCTGCCGCTGTTAGTGCCAAAGTCCATGAAGGCCAAGCGAAATGCCCACATGAAGTTTGCTGAAGATAGGGTAAGAGAGAGACTGGAAAGAAAGACCGATCGTCCGGATCTCTGGGGCTTGATCACTGGTGGACCTGACGGAAAGAAAGCACACCTCTCTTTGGACCAAATGGTCGGCAACGCTGCCCTCTTCATGGTGGTCGGCTCAGAAACCACGGCAACTGTCCTATCAGGAACGCTATATCTACTCTTGAAGAACAAACATTGCATGGAAAGATTGAAGAAAGAGATCTTCGACAACTTCAATTCAAAGGGCGACATGACCATAGAGGCCTTACCGAAGCTTACGTATATGACCGCAGTGCTAGACGAGGCCATGCGAGTCTACCCCGGTGCCCCAGAAACCTTGGCGAGATTAGTCCCAGCAGGAGGAATGCAGATTTGCGGCGAGTATGTCCACCAGGGCGCTACGGTATTCATTCTCCATTACCCAACATTCCACTCTTCACGGAATTTCGTACGACCAGATGACTTTGCTCCGGAGAGATGGCTACCCGAAGGCACCGCAGAATTCGAGAAAGATGATAAGAAAGCCTTTAACCCTTTTTCGGTCGGCCCACGCGCTTGTCTTGGAAGAAAGTAAGTCCGCCACCCCTGCCGCCGTTACGCACATACCTGATCTGCTATCACAGTTTAGCACACTACGAGTTGAGGCTGGCCTTGAGCCATTTGCTTTGGGACTTTGACTTTGAGCTTGACGAAAAGTGCGACGACTGGTTGACGCAAGAGACATACTCTTTCTGGCTGAAGCCGCCACTCATGGTCAGAGCTCGAGCTGCCTATCAGAAGCCATAGTCTTCCACGTGATTTCGAATGTGGAATGGGAACAAGATGCTACTGAAAATAAACATGCCAATTTATCTCGGCGCTCTCGATGGTGTCGAGTCATCCACGCATCATCTACGCCCATACTTCCGTGGTTTCTCTTCCTATGCAATTTTCAAATAAGCCCGGTATCACTCGCTGTCACATCCACAGGACGCATAGAGCAAGCAGTACCTCTCGCCGATTGATAGCCCGTGATTTGAGAAACATCATAATCCTCCGGACAAGCAATTTTCCACCTGTGCTTTGATACCTATTTTGGCAAACAGATAGCAAGCTCTCAAGGTAGAAGGTGTGCCGCACGGCTTTGATCTACCAAGAGCGTCGCGAACTGCGAGGAGAGCACACGCCGTCAACGGTCCGACACGCGTGCATCGTTCTCGGATTCTGTGTCGTATCATTCGCGCCTATCGCGAGCCAATTTGTCGCCTTCATAACCGCGATTACCGTACTTGTAAGATATACACCTATTGACCTTCCGTAACCGGTTTGCGGCAGTGCTGTCTGGAAGCCTCTCTTCGTATACGTGGCGGCGAAATCTGGGTTCGAGGTACAAAGAAGCTCGGCCCGAACAACCTGGTAGCGGAGTGCCATGATTCAGGAACACAGACAATGATGACAAGTTGTCCTCGCAAGGCGCGAGAGGAGGATTTCCATCAGCGAAACTCTTTGTTACAAATGATCGTGATGTGCTGGTGCGATATAGTCGGATCATGGAAAGCGCGCTACGAATGGATGCAGCTAGGATGCTGTTACGTGCTTTCTTGCCGGATCAAATCCCACGAGTGTTCGCGGTCAAATCTCAGCCCTGATTTATGCATTATTGTTAGCTAGGGTTGCGAAAAGAGTAGAAGTTGCAAGACGCTACATGGTGCAGAGTGGAAAGAATGTGCTGGGAATAGCGCAACGCGGTCGGCGGCAGTCCGCGGTCAAACACCCCAGCAACCCCACAACCTTCGGCGATTTGGGGACGCGTCGTAGCTTGTCTGAGCTTGTGTTATCAACATGTCTTGGGTGCGTAGAATCTCCGATGTCGGAATGTGGAGGCTGTAGTGTCAAGCGTCGCGTTGTTGCGTCGTCGCCGATCCTAGCGCATTTGAGAGCAAGCTCGGTATCCAGTCGCATCAATCGTGGTACCAGCCCATGTACTGACAAAGATACGGCGACATGACAGAGTGGTCGGCACGCCTGCCATTGATGACATCAAATTCAGTCCATGCGTCTTTCGCTAAACGATATATTTGGTAATGCTATTCCATCCCAACGCACGCATACAGAAGAACAATCGAACTTCTGGGGTTGCAATTTGGCTTCATTGTTGCAGCTAGAGCGGCGCTGCTGACAGTCTCCTAAAACCACCACTCAACGGAATGGCGTTTCTCCAACTTTGACGAGCATTCTAGCCCCTTCAGATTGATTTGAGTATGTTGCTTATTGTCATGCTCAATTACCATATATAAGGGAAATTCCGAGGAGCGGGAGTAAGTAGTCGTCCCTACTGCAGTCTACAGCAGTGCATTATAGGATAATACTAGATATTCTAAGTTAATGTAGACTTTAACCCTTAATATCTACATAGATGATAACTACATTAGTGCTGTTGTAGGCTGTAGAGCAATAGAAAGCTTTAGCGTACCTCTTCAATTTCTCTGTTGTATGCGGTGAATAGTGTTCTTGACAAGCTCATCTACGTTCTGACCACGAGCGAAGCTTAATATAGAGAGTAGGATCTGTTTATTTCGATAGCTCTTTGAGCGGCTTTACGCCTTGGCCAGCCACCCTAGACAAGAGAAAAACCGAATAGGTAGAGATAGTAAGCTCTACTTTGCAGCTTACATTAGCTCCTAATAAGAGAGATTATAGGAATTAATAGTATTGTAGGCTTCTAGGTTCTCTGTGTATGTCTATATAGCTATAATACGCTTCCTTGTAGTAGGAAGGAGTACTCTGCTCAAATTAGATGTTTACCTAGGTAGTTTCTCTCTTTGGCGTAGTGCGGCCCTCGTTCTCCTTGCCCTTTGATGAAGTTGGCGGTGCGACAGAGACAACACCGGACATCTTATAGTTGTCATCGTCTTCTTTCTCGTCTTCAAAGACTTCTATCGTTTTCTACGATGTGATTAGTGGTGTTCTTCAGCGTATAAGACACAAACAACTATATGTCATTGCTATTCCAAATAGTTGTAGGTAAACCTTCTACTCCCTAAAGAAAACGTGAAGACTAATCTACAGATCTAGCTCGCGTTCTTCTACATTGTAGTTGTAGTGCAGTCATGCTAACATGCAAGTGTATGTACTTTTGGTGGGGTGCAAGAGCTTGGGGTACCGTAGGAACAATGGAGTACGATATAACTTACGCGACGTTTTGGCTTAGGGCAGCCAGCCTGTCGAACACGTTTCGCTGGCGCTTCAGCATCGGCTTCGCTTTGCCGCTGCTCATCTGATAGCCTCTGGTATAACTCCACCAGCATGTTCTCGTAAACTGGCTTGTCATTGGCGCACACGTTGGGAAGAACGGTGTTGATGAGCTCGATTTGCTCTTAAATCGTCATGGCGACTACAGATAATCAGCAAAACGATATAACGATACGACGATCTTAGCAGCACAGAGACGGTCATCATGTGAGATGAAAGGCGAAATCTCTAAGGCAAGGTAAGCAAGCTATAAACAAAACTTTGAACAAAGAATAGAGATGCTGCATTGTTGAGGAATAGGGGCTCGATTTACATACCGGCCTATTGCCTCTTAGGCTCTTCGTCGTCTGTTAGCCTCATTAGCAATACGTTCCCGGAATACCAACTATGGAACACACCTTCTTCATTCTTCTCCACTACATGATTTAACGTTAGCAATGGTTCCTTCCTGAGCAGTTTCGTGGCGAAGCTAAGATCGGTTTCGTTGCCAAACAATCGTCGTTGAAGAAGGTACGTGCAATGATCCAGAGAGTGTCGATGCATATATGCATGACTTCATAGGTTGGATTCTTGGCCAACTTGAACTTTGGCAGACAACCTAGCACTACTGGCTGGAACAATGCTTACCGCCCTGTTGACCATCGAGCATAAATGGGTGGCCGATTCTGAGTGTTGTAGAAATGGTTGTAGCCAGTGCGATCAGCGTTCATGAAAGGACAGAAGGGAATCAAGCTGTGCTTGTACGCTCGCGCGACTATCGCAATGTTGGCCTCATCTGGGAAGACAAGGCTGTTGCGGTCCGCAGGATGGTACAGTTTATAGTTGTCGGATACTTGCGTCTCTTTCGCGGAGATTGATGCAAATGTCGCTTTGATGTCCGCCTCTGTAAACACCTTTGTGAGGTCACCGTATTTACACTTCACGCCACGACCAGCAAGTGCCGACGCAAGCGCCCTTGCGGAAGACCCGGAAAACTGCCACTTGATTTTAGGGCCAGCTTTGTATGTGATAGGGATGTGGAAGACGCCATGATAATCCAGTCGACTGAGATCGAACTCCCTAGCGATCTTTGGGGTCCGAGTTTTCTGCAGACCTTCGGCGGAGAAGGAGTGGGGAGCGCGCTCCGAAGTCTGTGACGATGTGGACAGTTCCGTGTAACCGATTGTGTATTTGCCGTCAACTGTCCTTCGGCATTCAACGAGATGATTGGGAGGTGCAGGACCGTTCTTGCAGAGCTCTGTCTCGTGTGCATCCAATGCATCATCACCTTGTTTCCAGCCACGCTCTTGAGGATATTCTTTCGGAACGTAGGGCGCCATATGAAGACGTATGATCGTTTTTATCGCTGCGAAGTGCTGAAGTGTCAGTAAATGCAGCAGTTTTGCGGAAGAATCTTCGTGATACTTACTTCCGCCTTGTGACGTTAGGTAGCTTGTTATCTCCAAATAACAAACGAAGGTCCGTGAAGCTGTGTGAGGAGACCACGCAAACAAATACTGATGATGAGCTTACAGAAGCAGTGGAAAGTTTATGAAAAGATGCGTTTGCTCTCCGAGTGACTGACCATGCGCTTCGGGTATGAGACAATCTCACTCACCTGCAGACTGCGTAGCAGAGGTGAAAGAGACTTCGGATCCACTTTTCAGCCAACACTCGTGGACAGAATAGCGGGGTTCCAGCGCTGCGTCACAGGAGATACCTAAGTAGGCATCGTCAGCCCGGCAGAGTGACTGATTGCGGACGATTGCCAAGCAGGTCATGCAATGATAGTCATCTCGCCCGTGTCTCATGATTCGCGGTTTGCTATACGCGTCTTAGAACTCCAGTTGACGGCGATTTGCGACATGAATGAAGACCCGCGGACATGCTCGAATTAGCGTAACGGTGTGATTGTCGGTGATAGTGAGAAGTGGGTAACAGGCGGTGCGTGATCTTACCAAGCGCACCTGCCTGCAGCAGTACGCATTCTTCCCGTTTGCAATGACGCCACCACCTTCACATGCACCAATCTGGCTCTTGTAGGTAGAGACTCCAGTGAAAATTACACATCTCTCGTTTCCCTCTTCTTCTCTTGCTCTTTGCCTTGTGAAAGACACTAGAACATCTTTTCAACAAGCACCAGCGACTCTGTCCAGAAGCTTGTGCAACTCAGCAAGAGCGTCTCTGCAGTTCGTCTGCTTCCTTTCTGCAGCTCAACAAATAGCTTCTTGTCAGTCTCCAACTATCGATCGGTGGAGGTAGCCTGAACACTACGATTGTGTACGTTGTCTTCCAGATTGGAACCGATGCGTCCGTGTATCTATCAGCCACTAATTCCGTTAAGCATCTTTCAGCTGTCGCTTTGATGGCCTGGACTCCCCCGAACGCGCCGCCGAACCTGCTGGCCCGTGTTTCCGCTGAGCAGCGGAACGCATGGGCCGACGGAGCTCCCTTGGACATTGCTTCGCAGCGGCAATTCCGACAGCAGACCACGTATGCATTCCGCCTCAACGCCGACTTCACTAGTACGTCCGAACCGATCCAATACAAGAAGGGAATGCAAGGCCAATTCCTAGGTCTGACAGAGAAGAGAATGGCCAAGATCTTCATACGCGGCGTCACTGAGGGAGACGGCTTCAGGAACCGCCATGTTCCCCTCGAATATATCGATAAGGGCCCTCAGTGGCAAGCTGATGTCAATGAGTGGCGTCTAGATGTCAAACTGCCAGGTCGTACAGTATTCGACAAGCGAGACTGGACTTCTTCTTCCTTGCCCGGCACAACTGTACTCGGCAAGACTGTCACTCACCTCATATCAGCCTTTCTTCACTCACCCGCGCCCGGAGATGCCGAAAAGATCACAGACTTCATCCGCAGATCTAGCGTGCCAGGTCTCACCATGACAATAATCAACGGTATCAAAGATGCTGGTCTCTACGGGGTTGTATAAGACGCGGACAAGAAATTCACAGTCGTGGATCTGATCACAAACGCTCGTGTTAGGGTTGTAGATCGTCATTCTTTGGACCGGGCCGGGGTCTATGCGAGGTTCCATAATTCCTCCCAACTTGTCGAACACTGGAAGCCAAACTCACGCTATGCTTACGTTGGCAAGTCAAACGATTTTGGCTCGCACTTTGAGTCACATCCCCATTCATCGTCAAAGTACGGTGATCTGAGCCAAAATTCCGAGTCGCTAGACATGATCTCACTCTGTGTCCTTTCTGCGACAGCGGAGCCTGGACTGTTCTATCTTACTGAGCAGCTATTTGTCTGTCTTTTGCAGACCTACAAGCCAGACTTGTTAAGCCCGACTATCGCGGATTCCGGTTTGCTAGTGTGCCGGTGCAACGGGTGCTTAGTCAATACTGGGGAAGTATATCCTTAGTATTTTAGAAGCAGTTGCTAGGGCAGAGTTGATCACTTGAATTCCTACACGACACAACGATCATCAACACTCATCATGCGATTCTTAGTTTTGAGACTTTATCTTGTATATTAGCAGCCTACGCAGGCACTATTACACTCTTTTAGTTCTCGAATACACTTGTACAACACCTATACGTCCACCTTCCCTTGGCTGCGCGGAGGAAATGCATCGACATCCTCGTGATAGTGCCTTCATACACTCCAACACCCGTACACTAGCATTTAGCAAACTTGCGAACTACTACACCAACATCTCAGATGAAGTATTCCACATAACTGGATGGCATGGTTTCATCGGCCGTGGACTCGCTTCGAGTGGCATTGTGTACGGGGCGAATTGCAGCTCGCCACTACACGAATACGGAGTGCTTGAACATAAACACCTCCTCATTCGGACCGACGACAACATCAGAGACAACAAGACTGGTTCGTTCATAACTATGGCCATATATCGATGTGCCGAACAGGTCTCAATCCCAGCCGACTCGAAACGAGTTAACGTGTTCAAGTACTGTGTCTACAAGAATGGTGAGCGTGAAGAGGTTATCAGTTTCCGCGCTAGGTATTGCAAGAAGGGGGATGCTCACCTCCCTCCTCCTGGGTCGCGTTTCAACTTCGTTATCGAGGTCCGAAAGGATGGAACGGCACACCCACATGCCTGGGCACGACTTGCAGCCATTGGTCATTCAAAAACTGGACAAGGCAAACTCATCCGCAGTCCGTATCGAATGGGAGTTTCCGGTATCCTCTGCGAAGTGGCAATTTGCGTATGTCCAATCCAACATCAACAATGAGCGAATCGACCCCCAAGTACCAGGATCACTAAAGAACTATGCTAAAGCCATAGCATTCCTTCAGTGGTTAACCGATGCTCGACCAAACCACAATCATGCTTGGATTCCCAAGACTCAAGGAGCAGCACTTGTCGTACAGACCGAGTAAGACTTCATGAACCAGACCATTCAGTTCCAGGATGCCAAGAATGATATTGTCATGCTGCCTGGCGGTAGGAGAACCAACGACGATATCATCGCTCAAATATTTCGACCAGAATATGGGCTCGCTCGAGTAGCCGGGGAAAGTTGTGGCTCCTCTTGTGATACCTGTAGGCTTCTCTCGTTCTCGACCAAGGCCAAAACCTTTCCAGACAGGGAATGCGTCCCTGTAAAGCTCTTTGCCGACCTGTGTACGAACTGTACAGTGCTTGGTCTCTCATGCTGTACATTCACCGATGGCGTCTACGACAAGCATGTACTACACACGCTCGACACTAGACTTGCAACAGACAAGGCGGCAGCGGCTTTAGTGGGCATGCCTCTGGCCGATATCCCCCAGGAGTCACAATCCTTTACTCAGCAGTTAAGGATCATCGATAGTGGCAATCAAAACGATGATGATGGCAGAGACTGCGGAGACGACGACCTTGACGAGAGCGACGACTCTGGCGAGAGTGACGACGACTCTGAGTAAAACCGAGTGGTAGAGTGTTTTCGAGGTGGATTATAGGCGTCGAGGTCTATCGGTTTTTGAACTTTTTCTTGTATGCTAGCAGTCGAAAGAGGCACTACTACACTCCTTTAGCCTTTCCAATACAATTGTACAACACCTGTACATCCTTATCTCTTTCATCGTGCTGAGGAAATGCTTCGACATCCTCGTGATAGTGTCTTCCTACACTTCAACACCCGTACACTCGCCATTGACGTCTTCCATAATTAAGTGCACACATCTCCCCCCAATAGAAATTGCTTCGCCATGGATTTTCGACGCAATCGAGCCTTTGAAATGTGGGCGTGACTATACCAACAGTTAATTGTCATGGTGTCAACAGCACTGGCCACAGGCACCGCATAGCTACCACCTCTCCATTATCTGAAGTCACAGAAAATATCCATTAATACTGCTTACGATAAACGCAGCGTCCTAGGTCTCAATGGCACTTAGTACCTACTATCCGAGCTCACCACATCAGCACTCTCCTCCGCATCCTCCAAACTCTGCTCTTTGCCCAACTTCGGGTCTCGAATGACGAGCGAGAAGGCAACAAGAAGCACTGCCAGACAGATGCCCGCAATGCATAGTAGCCGCTGCACATGCCGATACGCCTCTATCACAGCAGTACGCTCCACCGTACCCACGGGATATGAAGTCGCAAAGGTGAACGGGTCGCCGTAGACGGTGGCCGCGAGTGATGCATCACCGGTTCGTCGGACTAGCTCAATCGGTATGATTTGCTGCCACATGGCGCCTGAGACGGTGTTGCCAAGCGCGCTTCCAATGTTGTAGGTAGCGAGGTAGATGCCCGTGACGATGGCGACATCTATCATCAATGGTCAGCATTGTGTATTCTCGGTTCAACGGTAAGCGGCGACGGAAGGAAATTACTTACGCTCGTGTTTCGTCGCAGCCTGGATGCTCGCCTGCGCAGGATACGGAAACATACCGCCCGCGATTCCCAAGCATATCTGCGCGCCAATGATGCCAGAGTGCGACGAATCGCCCGAGCCACCACGGTAGTGGATCAGGAGACCAAAAGCCACCACGAAGAGACATGTTCCTGCAATGATGAACGGCTTCAGGCGGCGAACCTTGAAAACGATACCACCGAGTATCAGCCCAGTGATGACGGACGTGAAACTGTACAAAGAGCTGATGCGAGTCGCACTCTTGATAGATTCGTCAAACGCAACGACGAGTACGGTGTACAGAAAGTCGCCTTGCATGGTCCATGCGAAGTTCAGGGTACACGCAATTCCCAGAGCACCCCAGACTGCCCGATCCTTTAGCAGATAGAAGGGAAGCATTGGATGCGGTGCTCTCCTCTCCCAAATGATGAAGACGGGAAGGCACAGGAATCCGATGACAAGGGGGGCAATAACCTTGGCCGTACCCCATTGTGACTGTTCGCCACCCGCAATGGTAAAAGGCTTTGCAACAAGTCAGCACAGCGAACATCCAACAGGTGAAAAAAGTACGTCAACTCACCGTTAGAATGCAGCCAAACACAGCAATCAGCAGCACAATACCAGGAACGTCCATCTGCCAAAAGAGCGCCATTAGCAGATTCTTGACGCTACCGCCATGGACCTGATACGGTGTCTGGTACTTGTCGAGTGCGCCCGCCTTCCGGGCTTGTCGACTCGACCACATGAGCGAAGCAACTAGCGGAATGCAGCACACAGTGTAGATGATACACCACATGCCCACACCCCATCTCCAAGTCGTCTTGATGAGCACAGCCTGGCTGACGTCTCCGCTAACCCACGTGTTGATTAAAAACGGGATGGCGGGGATATAGGAGAAGAAGAGACGAGAGCGAAGGGATGTGATATCCGCTATGATGACTTCGATGAGAACAATGATAGTCGTGTACCCAATCTGGTAGAAAACGGCACCTGTTGCAAAGGACTCGACATCTTTGCTAGCAGCCTCTATAATCGTTCCTGTAAACTTCCGTGTTAGCAAAAAATGGTAGGAGGCGGACGGCTCGTCACTATAACATATCCATGCGGAACTGGGGGGACCTACCCAGTATGTAGAAGAAGATGGAAAGAACGACGACTTCGACTCGGCCGAACACGTCGGCGATTTTAGCTGCAGTAGGTTGTGCAGCAGCAGCAATAACACTCCTCAAAACATTGATGGTGGCCAAGGTCGAGTGCTCCTGGAATCCCGCAGTGGCATATGGCTGGTAAGTGTACCGCAGCGTGCCGTCCAAACCATATGCATACGCGACGAGGAAGATGCCGAAGAAGATGCAGCAGCGGTTGACGAAAGACGTGTGTGCATTAAGCGCTTCGATACGTAGGACACCGGGGGACTTTGCACCGGACAGTGCTGCTGGAGACTGAGGCTTCTGGTTGGTGGCGGTGAAGTCGCTTTCTTGCTTCGCATGTGAATCGAGGCCGGTCACCGTGGTGCTGAGCTGCACGTTCTTGTCAACGTCAGCATCGCTACGGTGAGACATGGCGAGTGGCTGTTTGGAACGCGAGGTTGCAGTGTGAGAATATACTAGTCTCAGCGTGCGCTGCGAGGTTTCTTATTTGTACCAACGCTGCGCGAGTCGACCATAGGTAGGTGAATGCCCAGGTGGCCTGACATGGTTTGAATTGGCAAACAACTCCGTACATTCACCATCACCTTTCCTCTCTGGGAACATGTTCCGAACCACCGGAAAGCTTCTCGTACATGGCGATCCAGTGAGATATCGTGCATGCTGCCCTGCATGAGATATAGCGTGCAGCTAAGACTGATTGATAAGATTAGATGCAAATTTTCGCTGGCTTGGCGTCAATATCCGAAGCTCCGAAACTCGGGAACAGCCTGGTCGAGACCTTGGCGGTCTTTCTTTGGGAGCCACAACGGATACTTAGCTCAATCATGCTGGAAGGAGCATCGGATTGAACTCGATACATCATGGAACGAAGTAATTCTCGCCGCGTGGCGCACACCTCGAAAGTATCGTTGCTAGCGTACCAAGGGCAACAATGACTCGAAATGACCGCCTTGCACTCGTATTGAAACAAAGATTATCTTGCTACAAATAGCACTACTGTTAACCAAGTGCGTTACAAGCATCCAAGTCATCTTACTTGCGTGAGTTGAAGTAGAAAAGCATGAAAGGTGATTAGTAACAGCCTTTAGATAAAATCTACCTTTCTCCCTCTTCGACACTGGGGGATGCTCGTGAGCCCGGGGCGGATCTGGAGAGACGAAGATCATCTTGGCCACTTCAAGTAAGCTTTAGCGATACCTGCATGATGTGGCGATCATGGGTCTTGTGCAGATTCCGAAGCTTGTCGCAGTCTGGTCGATTACAGCTTCATACAGTACGTCCAATGTAGTGATTGTCCACAGTGTTCCGCAGTCAGTAAAGAGGAAAAGTAGGTATGTGCATTCTCACTAGAAGCAAATGCAACTAGCATGGTGAGACGTTATCAGAAGCCTGAAGCAGACTAGAGACGTGTCACAAGGGAGCTCGAGCATTATGAGAACGCATCTCTTGAGTGTCGCTACAGTCCTTTACTATAAGGTCTTTCCGCGTCCCTGCTAATTGTATCAACTTGTTCAGCAGCTTAATCCGCGATGCAGAGCGCATGACAGTGCGAAGCTTGTCGACGGTGTCAACGAGACTACACAACCGCACCGTAAGCAAACACATAGAGGTTTCATCAATTGTTCCCAGTGGAAATACCGTCCTGTAGTCGGAGCAGTAGAAGGACACAGTAATTGCAAGCTTCGCGTACACTGTGGCTGCAGGATGATGTGAGACCCGATTTGCTGAGGATGAAAGTACGCCATGGGCGACGATTTTGTACACTAAATGATGCGAGGCTAGTGCTTACGACGCTGAAGGATGGTATGTTGTGAGTCTTCATGGAAATTTCTTACGCTTTCATCTGCACCATTCAGCTCCAGCTTTGGTTTGTGGAGATCAAGCAACGATCTCTGTCCGGGGTTGCTGATGCGTAGGGCCTGGGTACTACAGCTGGCTTACTGTGGTAAAGTGACCCTGCCAATTGCGTCGAGTTGAGGAAGATGCTCTCCAGAAGAGATGCAGACTACCAAACGCAAGCGGTACTCACAATGCACCCAGCATGCTCTGAACATGAGAATGCATGCAGCCTATGTCGATGGGACTCAGTCAGCACCGTCGTCAAGTGGGTACACGTGCGAGACATGGCTGTAGCGAGTCTGGGTGCACTTCATGCCAGGATGCCGCCGTTCCCTACCCTAAAAGTACACAGTATCGTGCTTGCGAAGCTGCAGTCAGCATTGCTTCTGCTGGAGAATACCCGTTTGGGCTGCTTAGCGAAACTCGTGCGTTCGGGTCGATAAGGGCCGCCATCAGCAACAATGTGGCCGTTGTCCGTCACAGTTGCGATTGGAGATGGTCATCCGCGGCTTTGGGCGACACTGTAAGCAGACACTGTTGGCAGGCTGAAGAGTCCAACGTGAGGAAATAAACCAAATCCATGATGAGTCGCCAGCGTAACACAACAGGCACATGCAGGCGTGCTCATGGTTGCAGCAATGCAGAGCGGTTGAAGGCCGCAAACCGTGTACTGGGGTCGTCTAGATGGTCTTTGCGCCACCACCTGCATGGCTGTTTAGTTTGACCAATCTGGTTGGGCGTCATAGCAGCGGGAGTGAGCACCTCTAAGCTCCACCCCTACCGTTTTGCTGGGTTATAAGGCCCAGATGTCCAGCTGTGCGTGTCGTGGAGATACTTGAGCCTTGGTGCTGCCTCGACGCTGCGACTCTCGATCTGCATCGAATCCGCTACGGGGGCTATTCGGTGCTTTGCACAGGCTCAGTCAGTACTTAGCAACCCCAAAGTAGCGTGGAGCTCCTCGGTCGCGCTACAACCGTGTTAGCCAGCAACGTCGAAACCACCATGGACTACTCGTACTTTGGCGGGCCCCAGCAGCCCTACAACCAATTCCTGGGCATGCAGCACTCGTTCGCCCACGGCGGACTCGACACAGACACGACGCAGAGCATTGTGAGTAGGGGCGGCGGGCGTGCCGGAAGACCCCGCAAACAGCCTTAGTAATGTGACCTGACGCGGCACCAGGAACCTCTCGACCCCGGACTGTATCCCACATGCTACGATGCCTTTAACCTTAACAACGGCCTGCCCACCCCCCAGCAGGGCTCTCCGGAAAACATAGCAGCACACACCCCCATGCCTGTCGGCAGCGTAGACTCTGGACTGGGCCCCGAACTCGAAGATGGCCAGCCAAACCAGACGCGAAGCAGCAGCGAGGAAAAGGACAACCTGACGCCTGCCCAGAGCAGGCGCAAGGCACAGAACAGGGCAGCGTGTGTTTTTATTCCCGTCCCACTCGTATCGTTGTCTTGCGGGCAAGAATGCTGACTTGGGTGTCACAGCCAGCGCGCATTCCGCGAGCGCAAAGAACGCCACGTCAAGGAGCTCGAGACGAAGCTGTCGGCCCTCGAAACCAGCACCCGCTCCCTCCAGTCAGACAACGACCGCTTGAAAGCCGCGCTGCATCGCGCCCGTACCGAGAACGAGATCCTGCGCGCTACCAGTGGCCATTCTCCCGCCTCCTCGCGCCCCGTCTCTGCGAGCTATCCCTCGCCCGGCGCTCATCTGCCCGCAGAGGATGACGACGAACAGGAGATGGACTACAGCGTCGAGTCGCTGACCAACGGCTCCGTTGTGAATTCTGCTGGTAGGGAACACTCACGCACCAAGGCCAGGGGGAGAGAGATTCCCGCTGCACAGGCCTGGGATTTGATACAGTCGCATACCCTCGTCAAGCAGGGTCTCGTCGATGTGGCTGATGTATGTGAGCGGCTCAAAGGGAAGACGACGTGTGATGGTCATGGACCTGTGTTTGCAGAGAGCACCATTTGGCAAGCTGTCGAAGAGTCGCGTCGATGCGGCGGTGATGAACTTATATGATGGCTGGGCTGCTGTTGCCCTAACCTTCTTTCTTCTTGTCAATACCCCGTTTTTTTTCTTCTTTTCTTTTCTGTCTTTTCTCTACCATTTAGGCTGGCAAGTTTGCTTTGCGGGATTTGGGCGCTTTGGGCGTTCGGCATCACTGTAGCCTGATGAGCAGTCTTGTGAATTAGGACGCTCGAACTATCAGGAGGCAACGATAAAAGGCAACGTGTCTGCACTTGCGGAAAAAAAGGTCATTTGTTGCAGTGTCTCTGTAGTCATTCCATGGCGCTTGATGTAGGAAAACGAAATCTAGGAAATTAACATGTTCCTGATCCGTCACGTCTCCATCGCTGGCGCTCACAGGAAGTACAACAGAATCTCTATGAACCAAACTACATGTTTCTCCTCACAACAACATAGGGACTTCATCACCGCGAGACCAATACAATGGAATAAAGACACACTTCACCAACACCGCCCACTACTCTTCCCTTTCCCAACATTTCCAAGTACTAAACAAACATGCCAAGGAATACTGTACCAAAGCCTATCAGAAACCCCACGCTCGCTAATCACCCGTCATCCTTGACCAATATCCAGAAGGGGTAATACGTGTCAAAACAGTCTACATTCCCCGCATCGATGCATGAAGCTTCAAACGGGAAGGCGTTCCCAAAGACGCGAAAGTCCTTTTTGAAGCAGCTTAGAAGTCTTGGGAAGTCAGCATGTCATCCAACAGAGCATATGCACACTTTATCCCTGTCCAACAGCTCTTTCAAGTCATGAGCTAGCGATCCATGATGCCATCTATAGCACAATGGACGTGTGTGAGTGGTAACTTCACACTGAGAATGTGTACAAGGAAATAATCATGAACATCTTGCATGGCTCGAACGCCGAGAACAGGTCGTTTATAGGAACTTTTCCACGTTCGTCGTTGGTACCACGAGTTGCATATACATGACGTGCTACGACCCAGATTTACAATTACATCTGGTATGTACACCATTGGCGCAATTTTCCACAACGTCTCAGAAAAATGATGTTGCCTAGGAAGCAATCTGCAAACCTGCTTTATTGCGCTCCATCTGCGGTATCGTTGGCTGTGCTCCCAAGGTATCGCTACGACTATGGTCGGGGCAGGAGCTTACCCATCGCTGGGACGACATTAGGCTTGCCCCTCTGTGATGCACACCTCGCAACATGTTTCCTCTTCAGTTTGAGGATTCACCTGCTGCCACACGACGTGTCAACGAGGCATGTGATCCAGCCAAGGAACGACAGCTAATTGCGGCTGTTTCAATCCCAATCGCTATCGTCATCGTCGCCAGCGGTAGTTCCCTGTCTTATCTTGCTCGTATTGACATCGTCATCGTCGTCTTTCTTCTTCTGGAGGCGGGTATCTCCTAGCTTGACCGCGCCAACATCTACGAGGATTCTTTCGATATCTATCATCGCAAATTAGCATCTTTGTAACGCAAAACTGCCGTCTACACCTGTGAGCGTGACGTACCTTGTACACTTGTCCTGGGCCCACTCAATTGCATCAGCGTAACAATCTGCCTCTTGATATCTCCATCTTTGTAAATCAACACAGTCGGTGTGTTCTTATCCGGATATCCCTCAATACACAGATCCGCCCTCATCTGGCAAAACTTGACGTCTCCAAATCTCTTTGCCAGCTCCCTCCAATGCTCAATCATGACTCTTGACTCTGTGTTTGTACCGGTGGAACTCGTGAGCAGGACAAGCACGTATGCTTTTTTGCTCTCCTCAGTCACGTCGGACGAGTAGTCTGGTTTCTGGATGTGGTAGACTTGATTGTAGACCGAGGCAGTATTTATGGAGGACAGTTCAGCCATGCGCTTCTGGCGGTACGAATCGAGAAAGTCGTCGTCTTCTTCGTCTTCTAGCTCGGCTAGTTCGTCGAGGTCTTTGCCTTCGAGTCGGTTTTCGTGGGCGAGTTGGCGGGCTTGCTCGAGTGCTTCTTGGATCATGGGTGTGGGCGATGGCGGCTTTTCAGGGATGATGCCTTTACTCCGGAGGATGTCGTTCCTGTTGCGCGCATGTTAGGGCTGTCGTTTCTTGCTTGAGGTTGGTGGTCGCCTGGCTTACCATTCTGTGTCGGCGTTTGGGTCGTCGATGGGGACGTTGACGGGCATGTCTGGCATCTGCATGATGGCGGTTTGGATGCAGAACTCTTTCGTACAGTTTGAGTATAAAATTGATGCGCTGAGCTTGGGTGGGAGGGTGCTTTTGTGGAAGAAGTGTGGTGCCTGAAGTGTCAGATATTTCGAGGAACGCGAAGCTCCGTCATGGACCCTGCCAATCTGCCCCACCCCCACCTCAGCTCCACGCGATGCCAACCCATGTCACTCTCAGCCGCACGGCACAGAGGGGGTTCTACAACATATAGATGTCGCTATATCAAGGTTGAAAAGCGCGCAAACGCTGCGTTAATTTATTAGTACTGCACAGACACTCTGTTAACGTTACCACAGCACTATGTTACGTGCAATATAGCGATATCTATGTGAGCAAAACCCCTCTCCGCGCGCTACGGAAGGCTGCATCTCAGCTCCTCGACTTGGAGAACGCCACTGCTTACTTGATCATGTTGTTATCTAGGCATCAGCTGCTGCCAGAGAGCATTACACGAACCTTCCTGGCATTGATGTTCAACGGCGACTCAAGAAGCCCGCTTGCGCTGCCGTCTCATCATGCACCTGCTGCGACGTGAGAGTGATGGCGAGTTCAGCCTTACTGAATACCATGGGCAGCCTCCGCCATATGCTATACTTTCACACACCTGGGGATCCGATAGCGACGAAGTGACATTCAAGGACATCGAAAAGGGCAGAGGCAAGAACAAAACCGGCTACGAGAAATTGCGCTTCTGCGCTCGGCAAGCCAGAGAAGATGGATTGGAATATTTCTGGGTGACGTCTGATGCTCGTTGCAACTCTGTGCACGATAGCTGACACTCTTCAGGTGGATACGTGCTGTATTGACAAGAAAGATAGTGTGAAACTCTCGGAGGCAATTAACTCCATGTTTTCGTGGTATCAACAATCTTCCAGATGCTACGTTTACCTCACCGATGTTAGGCGTCAGAGAAATGGCGCCGCTGCTGTCGTAGGTTTGCTAACCAGAAACAAATCTAGCTCACCCCGAAAGGATTCTGGGCGCCATTGGGAAATATCATTTCGGGCGAGCAAATGGTTCACCAGAGGCTGGACCCTTCAAGAACTTCTAGCGCCAACTTCAGTGAAGTTTTTCAACCAGGAAGGAGATCTTCTAGACGACAGACAAGGCCTTGCAAGAATCATCCATGAGATAACAGGAATATCAGTGCAGGCTTTACACAAATCAGGTCTCTCACTATCCAATTTTAGCATCGATGAACGCATGTCATGGGCAAAAGGGCGTAGTACCAAACGGCCGGAAGACGCTGCCTACTCTCTTCTTGGTCTATGTGGAGTTCACATGCCACCCATATATGGAGAAGGCCAGGAAAATGCGTTCTTTCGTCTGCGCTGGGAGATCGAGCGAAAAGCAGCGATTTCACAGAAAAAGGGCGTCATGGCTACAGATGAGAGCCTCCCGAATATCTCTCCCTCGTTAAGCGCCTCACAAAAGTCAGTAGAAACGACTGGTATTGGAGCACAATGGCACGATGCCGAAGATTGGTACCCACACCAACTACACAGGGACAATGTCACAAAAGACAATGAGAGAAAAATGAAGTTGTGGTGGGATAATGCGATTGCTGCGAACCTGGATACGACCGATGCCTGGATCGATGACTACGAAAAGGCTGCAGCATTACTTGTGAAGTGGGCAGATGAACCGGAGGATTCGAAAAGGAGTCAAGAGGTACGTGGTCATAATTCACATATCTATGTTCACCTTTTAGTATAACGGGACAAGCGGCGAGCAAACCCCACAACCAACTCTTCTGCATGAGAAAGAAGATCTTGTTGCGTATGCTGATATCAGAACAGGTGAACGAGCTCGACCATGTCCTCCGTGTGCAATATGGTTTCCACACAGAGATGGTCGTTCTAGACGTCTCGCACCAAGCCGAGCATCAGATGAATCGATCTCTCGATAGGTTCACCGAGCAGAACGACGGACCTAACAATTTACTCGTCGTATACTATACTGGCGCTAGCACGATCGAAGAAGATCAAAAACACCTCAAATTGGGAAGCCCGGCGGTCAAAATAGGCCCGGGAAAATGGCGGCGCCGGTATATTGATTGGCACAGATCATACGATATTCTTCGCTCTGACATAGTGGATGCGGATGTCTTTATGATACTGGATACGGATACGACGTGGGCAAGCAAACAAACGGATGACTGGATGGCCAAGATCAATCCACCGGAGAGGCAGAACCGGAATCAGACGAAACGTTTTGAGGTAATGAGTGCAGAAACAATCCGCTTCAATCGTTCTCTGATCGAAACTTTGAATACATTTGCAAACGACAGACGCGGCAAGCCTTTTTCAACATCCACGCTAAGCGCGCATCTACGTAAGGACCTGGTAATAGACGAAGAACAGTCCATATTGTGGTCTTTACTTCCAAACAAAAGTCATATCTTTCTTAGTCCGGATAGAAGAGTATCGAGCGAGATCTCACTGGAAGGCTACCTGAAGCTAGGGATTCAACTACGCGATGAGGCTTTGTCGCAGACACAGATCGAAGACTTGGTGCGAACTCTAGCAGCATGGGGAAGAGAGAAGGATATCGTACTTCGTGGCATCGACTGGCTTGGATTCGAGGTACAAGCGGAGCAGTCAAATTGTTGATAACAGCGATTCATATGAGCTTTTGCGCAAGACAATGGTGATTCCTCAGACTGAGAAAGAAAGATCCTACGATAACATGGTGGTTCAGACGGATGTCACAGCTGATGATGGTATGATATCATGAAAGGTTGTAGACGCACGCCAGATCTCGTATCTTTGAACAGGAAAAACGAGGAAATGTGTTACAACAGATTCCGAACACTCGCACTGCGATGAACGATACACTAGCCACAAACAAGAACAAACATTGCGGCATATGCTTGGCTATCAAGTGCGATAAGTTACCCTTATAGGTGTGACTAGAGTACCCATGGAAGCGCTTCTCCACCTGCTTTCGTTCTTACAGGCAACGACGAAACGCTCAACGCCAGAGCATAATACGGTGTGCGCAACCAAGTTCAGTACGAAGTGTGTAGTACTTTTCAAAGACGAATCCTTTCCAGAGGTATCGGCTTCGAATATTGGCCGTAAGCAAAAGGCGCACCCTCCCTGACCAGATTGCTCTTCGTGATTGCATCCCGTGATAGTTGCACAGCTCGAACTCCACGCTCAAGCATGGTGTCCCTGTACTTAGTCATAACAGCTTCTAGATCCGCACCCCTGAGCCCATCTTCAGCAACACGTGATAGTGCTTGAGCCAGGTCAAGTGCATCTCGAATAGCAGTGACACCTCCTTGACCCGAGAAAGGCGTCATACAATGTGCTGCATCGCCTAACAACGCAACTCTGCCAGAGCTGAAATCCTCCGGGGACAGCTCAACGTCGTGCATAACGAGGGGTGGCGCTCTCATTCCTTCAACAGACGTCTTCTCTATAATGGCCTTGAAGTCCGGCGCAAAGTTCTTTGTCATGGCTCTTGCTGCGGATAAAAGCTCCTGTTGACTTGCAGTAGCAGTCCAGTGTGATCCTTGGGTCGCAGCCTCGTCGGGCCAGATCAAAAACCAGTAATAAAGCCCTGATTTGGCATCAGGGAGGATATCGTTGACACCCACGAACATGACCAGATCCCCGGAGCCAGTTATGTTGTTGTCTGCGCGAACAATGTAGCAAGAATGGCCAAGTTCGAGCTGTCGCTCCATATCCTCGTTTTCCAGTGTGACCTCGCCAATGATAGTAGCGATAGGCAGTCGTTTAAGCTTGTCCTCATTGGGGTAGAGTAGGTGGCGACGGACTGTAACATGGCTCCTATTAGCAATGCAAATCTGTGTCCAAGATATGTGGGTGAGGCTTACCAGTACTATGCACGCCATCTGCGCCAACCAAGAAATCACCATTGGCTGAAGTCCCATCTGTGAAATTTACTGTTACGCTGTGATGATCTTCTTGAATTCCTGTTGCTTGCTTCCCAAACTCAACCTGAATTCCAGTACTAAGAAATTCTCTTAGTCTCCTACGATTTGCTCTTAGCAGCTTGCCGGACCCATCATCGGTCACACCATGTCGCTGACCCGGATCCTGTGCCTGGTAGACAGCAAGCTGCGAAGGGAATTTGAGTGGATGAAGGTGGAATACTGTCTCTAGGGATGGCATGTCGTCTGAAATGCTGGCTTTAAGGTCGTCTAGTATGGTGTGTAATCCTATAGACCATCCTTGGCTGCGAGAATTTTGCTTTGAATCGCGTTCGAAGATCGAGAACGGGATCTCTTTCTTTCTTAGGGCCTGGGCGAGTGTCAGGCCGCCAATGCCGCCTCCAAGAATGAGCACGTGAGGAGAGTGGTCTTTGGAAGTCATGATAGAAATATAGCAGTATAGTAGGATCGAACTGGGAGTAGAAGTAACTTCTGAGTGGAAACAGTAGAGATAATGATGGAATGAGGTTTCTTGCTTTTAAGCTTGTTTAGAGGTACGTGCAGTGGTAGGCCTCATGAGGTTAGCTCGCAAGGATGTCAGTCAAGTAAGCGTCTCCCTAGTCTTCTCTCTAGATTACTAGGAATCATGCATCCAGTAGAAAGCTTGGCTTTGTGCAGCAGGCCGCTAAGCCTAGTGAATTCCTTGGCTTCGCGCAGTGAGGCTTCCGATACCGAAGAATCCTTACCTTCGCGCAAAAGCACTGCCGACACCGAGTAGTCCACATGGGTACGTGGCCTGTCTCATAGAAATCGACATCTTTGCGATCACCGTACCAGTTGAGGGGATATGCGGCTTTGAAATGCTTGGCATCATTCTCAGATGAAGGGATGGTATTTATCCAAGGTTCATTCAGGCCCCATCGGTGTCGTCAACAAAAGGACAGTTCAACCTGGCGATTCAGTCAGTTCCATCAGTGATCGAATCGACTGACTAAAGCTTCCGGGCAGAGTCGGTCGGTTCATCGGCTACATTGTAACTTACAAGAATGCAACGTAGAGTGGAAGCAGTCTTGTATCACCATTGCGAGATATTAACTCGGTAAATGAACCACTTCCTTGTGCGGAGCAATAACCAATCTGCACTACTAGAACTAATGCTGTTCATAATCTCTAGCTCTCATAAATCCATATCGGATAAAACAGTTGAGTTATTGTGCGATGTTCATAGCATGGCAAGACACGTCTCATAGAATCGAGCCCACTAGAAAAACCGTAATACATTCCCAATCTATATAATCATACAACCAAGCTTACTCTAATCTTATCTTTGTTCGCGCATGTAACTCTCTCACTCCTGCATTAAGTCGCGCAGTCTTCTGTTTAGCAGGTAATTATGCCATGTCATTTAAACCTGTACTATCTTTATCGAAGCAGGCTCGATTTTACTGCGTTCCAATGCTGTTCAGGCTCCTCCGTGTCTATTGTCGCAAAAGGTCAATACCCAGTCGCTGGGCCTCGAACAACGTCCATATCATCCCTTCCACCATAACTGTAACCCGTCAGGAATGCACCTTCTAGTGACACTGGATTCTCGTTCCAGAATTGCTGGACCGTTTTGGCAGCCTTGAGGAACCCTTCTTCAATATTGCTTGTGTTGGTGCTCAGACAACCTTGGTGCACAATTCGTCCATCTCTTTTCCAAATCTTTCCATTGACAAGGACATGTTTGACATGTCCTACGTGGGAGTGCAAGAGAACAGCAGTGACAGGATCACTCCAACCCAGCAGTCCCGGCGCCTTTCCGTCGTATACTACAATGTCTGCCTTGGCCCCAACACGCAACACACCAAGATCATCGCGTCGTATAGCTTGAGCCCCGGACCTTGTGGCCAGCAAAAAGCCTTGATTGGTAGACATCGGATTGCGGTTCACCACAATTCTTTCCTCGGTGGTAAGGTGAGTCATCAAACGCTCGCGAACATTCTGGAGCCAGATCCTCGCTTGGGTGATCAGATCGCCGCTGTTTGTATAATGCGTGCCTACGCTGAGGGATGCTTGATCCATGGCGAGATGCTGTTGGCCCACCTCTCGGGAGTGCGACATTTCAAACTCCGGAGCATACGCCATGTAATGATTGTAGGTGCGCAATAACGTCAGATCTGTGGCCGTGAGAGATGTGCCGTGTACGAACACGACGGGCACCGTAGTATTCAGAAGGTGCGTTCCGTTGGCCAGTTTTATCTGTGACAGTACAGACGGGTTGTTTTCTGTTGCGTATACGCCGCCGACCGCATGCGTCTCGAGCACAGCAATGTCAAACTCACTGTCAAAGATTAGAAACATCCAATACCCGAATTGTGTCATACAAAGCTCTTACCTAATTAACGCAGAGATGGCTTGTACTTCCGATTCTATACCAAAAGTCCATCTTTCATAAGAGATACCAAGACTAACAGTACTCCCAGTCAGAGTCCCATCAGTCATCAAAGTCTTAAAATGCTCAACCTGTTCGTCGAATGATACGGTATCGTAGCCTCCCAAGTTGTATGCGAAGATGCTCCTGATACCACTGTCCTTGGTAGCCTGGATGTATGCATCAACAATGTCGCTCGTGAAAGATCCGGATGCGTGATCCACGATAGTTGTAACGCCTGCACTAACAGCTTCGCAGAGTCCGACCAGCTCTGAAAAATAAGATATTTCCGCGTCGTAGATTCTTGCAGCGATTGTTGTGTTCGTCCATCTCGTGAGATATTCTGCTAGGGTACCAGTGCCACCGATAGAGCGGTGAGCGGTTTGCCAGACGTGGCGATGAGTGTCGACATGGCCAGGGGACAATATGTCTCCTTCGACTGAGATTCGAGTAGTTTCCGCTGGGATTGAGCTTGTTGAATTTGTAGGGAAGATTGCGCTAATGATATCGTTGACAACAAGGAGAGAGTGATCGCGCAGTATTTCTACGGAACCGCTCGTTTCATTAAAAGATATAATGGTGCCGTTTTCGAAGAATACGGACTCGCTGTGAGAAAGAGAAATTGCAGCGAACAGATGGAGGAGTCGAAATATTTGCTGCTTCATGATGTCAATCGTTGGACAACGTGTGATACTGAGATCGTGACGAGGTTACCTACCACATTTGTACTTGAGTACAAAAATTGGACTTCCAGAGGTGAATAGTTCAGTAGCCCGTAATCTGCTTATTGGGCAGTATTTTCGTTGTAGTGACCAGGTGTGGACGAAACAGTGGCCGACTCTCGTCCCATGGGTGATAGTTTCGCCGGATCGCAGTTCGGTCTGCGCCAAGCCCGATACGGACATAAGACATCAACAAAATGCGAAGTAGTTTCTGGGGTGCCCAGCCACGAGAATGCTCGAATGATCGTTAGCGCCGGAATTAAGCCATGATGTCCGCTTCAACTTTTTCGATGTACGGCCGCAGTTGTCTTGGGTTTTTAGTCGCGCCTAAGAACAAAAACAACTAGTCCAAGAGGATAGACTGTCCCCCATCTTACGATATGGGTATAGTAACAACATTCTCACCAGCAAACGATCGTCACTTTTTTTTAACATGTTCGTCCGGTAAGCCTCTGCTTGCGGTCGCTTGACCACAGATTCTGAATGCTCGCGCGTACATTACAACCGTGAACTAGAATGATTTATCGACACGGACTGAAGACTACATAGAAAGTGCTGACAGTAAAGGTGGTATTGAAGTATCTATTCAAGATGAGAATCAACGTATAGTCATCTCCATACGTCACGTAATTAGCTGGCAGAACCCTGTGACATGGGACACGGCCCCCTCCCTTCCCAAGTTGAGATGCACCAAGTCTACTAAAAGCGGAGGAACAAACAGGACATGAAATGCGTATTTTCGCGTTTCGGGGGTTCGCCAACTCTTAACGCCGTTGGACTCTTGGTAGTGAATACCTCGAGGCACATTCTCACCGATAGACTGAGTTGTATAAAACGACAGTAAGATATTCTTTGAACTATTACCCGCTTATATTGTTTCGAGGTACGGCTGAATAATCACCGTTTCGGAAAGTCTTGATATACAGAGCAGATCAGAATCATGCATTACCACCTTCTCCTACCCCTTTTCGGAATTTTGGTAAGGGCCGCGGAATTCAAACTTAACAATACTTATGAATACATCGTCATTGGATCTGGTCCAGGTGGAGGACCACTTGCAGCGAACCTTGCCAAGGCCGGCCATTCCGTTCTGCTCATCGAAGCTGGAGACGATCAATGGAATAACTCCAATTCGGCAACAGTCTGGAACAACACACTTGCTATAAATGATCCTCTAACTCGTTGGGACTTCTTCGTTAGTCGAGACGAGCCCCAATTTGACGAAAGATTTGAGTTTACCACCTGGAGACAGGCAAATGGGGAATATTATGTTGGACTGGATCCGCCAGCCGGTGCCGAACGCCTTGGGGTCTACTACCCAAGAGCAGGAACTCTTGGAGGTTGCACGATGCACAACGCTGCGTCAATTTCTCTTCCAGCCGACGTCGACTGGCAAGACATTGTCAATATCACCGGGGACGACTCGTGGAGTACAGCGAACATGCGCCAATATCTTGTGAGGCTGGAAAGATGTCACTATCTCGTCAATGGGAGCACTCCTACCCATGGGTTTACTGGCTACATCGATACATCGCTGGGTGATGTATCTTGGGCCTACAACACAACACCTGCAGCAGAACTGGCCCTTAGACACCAGAACGCAGTCGCGGGTGAAGGTGTCTGGAATTTGACGCATCTTGTAACCAGAGATATCAATGGGGACTCCCCAGACAGGGATGATACTGTCGGAGTTTTCGGGCCTTTCACCCATTCAGACCATGGAGTTCGGTCCAGCCCGAACAATTACATCCGCCAAACACTGGCTGACGCAAGGCGCTTCCCACTATATATCCAGCTAAACACTCTGGCGACTAGAATATTGTTTTCCAAAGCTGAGGGGAAGGGAGCAAAGGTCTCGAGACCTAAAGCCATCGGAGTTGAGTTTCTCGAAGGCAAAAGCATGTATTCTGCTGATCCAAGGTACGACCCTAATATACAAGGCGTTGCTGGCAAAGCATTTGCCTCCAGGGAAGTGATCGTCTCTGGTGGCGTATACAACACTCCGCAGCTTCTCAAATTGAGTGGCATTGGGCCCGAAGACGAGCTCAATAAATTCGACATTCCTATCGTTAAGGATCTTCCCGGTGTGGGGATAAACATGCACGACAACTACGAGACAACTATCTACGGAACCTTCGCCAACACTGTGTACGGCTTCTATGATATCTTCGCGAAAACCTCGAAAGCGCTAAGGACCAGAGATATACACTTCTACTGCGGCGCGATGCAATTTATTGGATTCTGGCCTGGTATGCCTGGGTGGAACCCTAACGAGTTCACATGTGGTTTCATGCAACTTCACCCAAGGAACATTAATGGTTCGGTAACTCTGAAGTCCGCCAATCCTCGGGATATGCCAAATATCCACTTAGGCTTCTTCTCGCAAGGAGACGACGATGATCTCGCATCGATGGTAGAAGCCATCAACACTGTTCGCCCTGCGCTTCAAGAACTTTCCAACAACACTTTCACCGAGTTGCGACCATGTGCCGCTGGCACTCTTTGCTCCGACGACGCTCAGGCTAGATTCCACCGCACAAACGTCTATTCACACCACGTCACTGGTACCTGTGCGATTGGCTCAGATGATGACCCGCTAGCAGTTCTAGACTCCAAGTTCCGTGTTCGTGGAGTCGATAGCCTTCGTGTTGTTGATGGTTCTATTTTCCCAGTACAGCCGGGAGAGTTACCTAGTCTGCCGACATTTATGATTGGGGAAAAGGCTTTGGATGATATAGTAGCTGATTTATAAACATGTTCTGTGTATTTCACAGTAAACGTGGCTATCAAGGCACAATCAATGAACTGTAGTCTAGGACGTACAGAAGCTGAATAATGTAAATTCCTACCAAGATCACAAGAATGTTCAGAGTGCGAGGTACTAGAAATAGCTACAGAAGTACGAAGTGTACATGTCGCACTATCAGGTACGGGTATCTTGCACTTGGAATGTCTAGATAGAAGTATAAATCGCATCATTTGAGGTGTTCTAGCGTAGCTCATATGACAATCAAGACCGGTTGGGAGTGATAGGGGTGTATATCGAGTAACTCAGGCAAGCTTTGGTTCTTTGGAATGAAGAGACTTTTCGGTGTTTAGGTTGAGTTGGATCGTGTCAGGTGATGAGCTGTTAGAGTACGACAAACCGTTGTTTATTCTATCCGCTCGTCGTAAGGTACCGCCGGGTAAAGGCATGGGTAGCGCGTGATTCGTGCGAAAATCTATCGCCAGAAGACTTTCCATCGCGCGCTGTTCAGAATGAACAAAGTGAAGCAGGCGAAGGAAGCAATGGGCCGAGGATTCTAAGGCCTTCATCCGGCTTGGCAGCGCTGTCCGTGCGCAGGCAACACCCGCCCAGCTCTTAGTGAATCCTTAGAGCCAGTACAATACGCGACTGTGCCTCTCGGTTGCGTCACATGTCTGCAGTCCTTGACCGAAGTATAAGTTCACTAAGCCGGACTACGCTTGAGCTATTCACATCAAAGCAACCGCATCCTTACTACATTCGTTAAGTTCGGGCCTCTATATTGCACTGGGCATCAGATCGACTTCTTTCGCGCCACCACCATGAGTAACCTCGCCCAACAATGGTTGAGGGACCTTTCCATCTCTTCGGACTATGATTTTGTTGGCTACAGACACTGGGGCTTTACCATCTACCGCACTGGATACGGACCTTCCTCCGACCAGCAATGGCAGCGACTTCTCGAAACCATCCAGACTAGTGCGCACGACGAAGCAAGAAGCTTAACCGACTCTGTTGAAGAAGAAGAAGAAGAAGAAGAAGAAGAAGAAGACCCTAAATTCCAGGAATTGTGGTCGCTTTTCCGTCTCGATGCACACTCAGACCCTGCCCTAGCTGGCCTCGACATAGATCAACTTCGCCAGTTGTACAACAGTAGCAGTGGCGAGGGTAGCCAACCACTGAACGCAGACTTCAACTTGCACCGAATATTCCTTTTCGCCGACGACGAGGTTCTGTCAGACCCTGCCGCTTCTATTGTTAAATGTGTAGATGCCGACTACCGTGCAGAGGACTATAATTCGCGGAACCCAAGGGTGGGTGGACAACGCTACTTTGGCTGGATGCGAATGGAGCCTAGAAGCGTAGCATATCTCTGGGACGAATTGGGTCAATACGAAATGAGTGATATCGCGCCTCCGACTATTGGGGGAAGTCACTTGGTGACCTGGAAAGGACAGTTGTAACGCGAACGAGCACGAGAGTCTTGATCCTTCACAAACGAAGCATTTCAGGTTTAGAGCCACTTCAGTTCAACACTGTCGTCATGAACGTGTCCACAATCGTCTGGGATAGTGGAAGGTATTCAATCCCGGTTGCCTCCACGACTCGGCTGCCATCAACGTCGAATCGATATAGTCAGGAAACGTATTCCGCAATTGCGGTGCGGCTCTTTGGGATCATACGGTGCCTCAAACTATAAAGCCTTTTTTCAGTAGTTCTCGCACGACGTGACTGGCTACGTAGCCGTTCGCACCAGTAACTAGTATCGTCTGGTCGCACGAGGCCATGATATATCGAACAAGTATCGAAGGAGAGATAACAAGGTCGTTTAACGAGCTGTTAACTCATTTTCGACTTGGAATTGGCATACCAAATATCTTGTCAGACCACACAGACCGAAAACACACATCAAAGAATAACATCACGTGATAATGAACACTCTTGACGCGGTACATTGTACTGTTATTGCGGAGCAATGTTGTCCCGTTTTGTGTCCCAAAGCGGCGTTTGCGGTATTAAGGCTGTTATCGTACCGTGTCCGTGCACTTGAGGCCCGACTGTAGTTGGCAGTCATCGTACGTGCATTGGGAACAAGATAGTCTCACTGAGGGAAAGGTCCTCGAGAAGAAAAGCATATCAATACTATTACAAACATCCTTGAATTCAGTATACTCATTAGGAACTCAGGGGTCAAGCCAAATCTATCTTTCGAGCACTATATATACCTTCAAACGGGATGCAAGTGTAGTGCAACGCGAGAGAAATGGAGCTCCTTGGTAAGCTTTAGTATCTAGGTTTGAATGAAAAAGCTTGCAAGACGACTGCCGGATCGGCGTCTTTTTCGAACAAATCGAGTAGCCACCTGATAGACATATAGTAGCTCAGCGTTCCTCCCATATGCATAGCACCGGTCTCAAAACGAGCTTCCTTTGCTGCGCCATGCTGCAGCGCAAGATAGAGGTCATCGATAGGAAATACTTCGTCGTCCGTTCCGTTGACCAAGAGGAGACGTGCGCATTTATGTTTGTCGAGAGTGCCGTCTAATTATGTGGGGATACGAAGTCAGCGTTTGTTTTGCATGTGTTTTGTACAGTCATAACTTACCCTTGAGCAGCGAAAACTTGTCAGAGGCCTCCGACTTGAAGGCTTCAACGTCGTTTCCATAACCAAACTTGTCAGCTAATGCACCTGCTAAGTCCATGGGGTACTCGAGATGGTTCACATGGTTAAGCCACTCTGGGTCAAACATGTGATGACATCCACCTCCTTGAGAAACAACTCCAATCAGATCTCCAGGATGTGTGTGCGCGATCCGGATTCCGTAATAACCGCCCGTACTGTAGGACCATACTCCAACCCTGTCTATATTAAGGCTGTCCTGCTGGGCGATCCAACCGAAAAGGCTTGAATACAGACGATCTGGAGATTTCGGGTCTGTACGTGAAGCAGGACAGTCTCCAGTTCCCGGAACTTCGATGGCTATGGTAGCGATGCCTAGTTTGCGGAATGCATCCATGAAAATTGCAGCTTCGGTTCGATACGCATCCAGGCCTGTGATAAAAATCAGGCAGGGAACACGGTTTTGCATGCTCGCTTCAGCAGGAAGCAAATAATATATTGGAATCTCGTCACCCTCTATGGGTAAGCTGTGTGTGTGTGGAACATTGATTTCCAGGATAGGGTGCGGTCGAAGACTGAGGCCCTTGAGACAGCATTCCTTCTGTAGGCGCCACGCCTCTCTTTGCGCGTTAGAACGCAGTGTAGGAAAGCGCGCAACACGGTATATCGCACTGGCTCTGAGATAATATTCGCTTGCCTTTTCGATATCGCCTTTGGCATCCGCTTTTCTGGCCACATCAAGTAGTTTTTCAGCTTGTGGAAAATGTGCTCTTGCGTATTCATCGCAGTCATAAGGTGGTTTGAAGTCACGCTTCACCAGATCCTCAACTATCGGCTCAAAGTCCTTAGCTGTGCTGAACATGAATGGATATATCCCAAATTCTGCCTGGGATTGGAATGAGTGCTGGAATGACGACTTTGCTGATATCTGAAGTGCATGGTGGTGTGAAGCAGGGATCATGTGTGACTTACAAGCTGTTTCCACTTCGTTTCCCACAACTGTTTGTAACTTTCATGATGTACAGCTGGATCTTTCAACTTCTCCTGGATGAAATAACGACCTCCAGGTGCCGCCATAACGTTTTATATTGCTAAACTTCCTGTCGTTGAATGATGATATATTGTCGTTTGGGAATTGGTTGAAAAGCCTTCTTGTAGGTAGGAAGAGAGACTCCATACACTCTATATATAGGAAACCTATACAGTGATTTATATCCTTCCATCGTTGTTTTACGTGTCGTATGCAACGAGTGATGGCCGAACCGTGAGCACGTTAGGCTCGGCCGAGGTGGTGTAGGTAAGAGCGAAAGACCGACATACAACTCCAACGCATACAACATGCGCAACGCTTGACTGCAAGAAACTCGGTCGGAAACGTGCAATAAGAGCGAAATACCGACACTATCGATTCCGTACACCAATTACTTAGGGCTATTAACAATACCCCACACAATAACTTTGTGTAGCTTCACTGACGCAATGCGCTATCGGGCCGATAACGTCTTCCTAGCACAGCCATCTTGACGTCTGACATAATGCTTTGCTTTAGAAATACAGTGTCGATCTTGATCTTCCAACCCGTCGCAAACACCAGTTTCGCAGCTTCCAACGCGCTACTACGTCGTCTAGACTGAAGGATGCCATCAAGTAATCTCCTTCTCTTCATGGTGCTTTTTCGTATGTTCCAGTGGTGCGTCGATCTTTCGATCCATGACCTCCTTGAAACTGGGGAGGAACAAGCAGAGGATACAAGCAACAGCCCCAAACGGAGCGGCAATTATGAAAACAACGCGAACGCCATCGGCAAAGGCCTGCTGCATTGCTCCGCCAGCCGCTCCGAGAACTGCCGGTGTGATCCCGGGAATTCGCGCCAGTGCGGCTTCATCGTGGCTCGAGAACGCCCCAATAAAGGGCCCTATGGAAGAAGCTGGTAGTCCTGCCTGAGTGACCGCTCTCGCGATATACGAGGGAATGTATGTGCCGAGGCGAGACGAGAGTGCTGTCGAATACGCGGCAACAAAGATGGATGCAGCCAAGGTGCGGCAGGAAACCACCAACGCTGTTGCTGTTGCGATAAGATGGTGCGGCACCGCAAGTTGCACACCAGTAATGATCAATATCAAGGGTCCAGCTAGACCGACGCCTGCAAGAGCGATAGTGCCAAGTGCCACTGCAGATTGTCCAGGCTGTACGGTGGCGAGCCCGACAATGCCGCCAGTATAGATGATGCATGCCACGAATAAATTGTACTTGATGTCCCTGAAGTAGCTGCTTGCCCAGCCATAGATCAACGTGACCCCACCGATCAAGCAGTAGAACGGAAGCTGGCGGACAGCTATTTGTATAGGGTTTGAAGTGAACAGCGCACTCGTCCTATGTGAAGTCAC